ACACTAAAAAGTCAATTTTGATACTATTCACTTTACTTTTTATTTGGTCTTTATCGTTAAAACTAAAATTTTTTAAACCATTTTCATTAATTTTCCTTATAATCTAGAAACAAGATCCTCTTTGAATCCATACTTTCTTATCACTCTTTATTTATTTATTTATTTTTTTTGGAAAACTACCATCTGATCACTCTTTATCTTCAACTTTCTTACTGTTTCTTTCTCCTCAACGTCATTGCCATCTTCTCCGACGGCGATGGACGAAACAGAACCGCAGAGAAACAAGAAGAAGAAAATGGGAGGAGTTCAAGGTGGGGAAATATGCAGCAGGAATTGGGATGGGAGGGGGAGGGGAAGTGAGTGATGGTAGGGAGGTGTGCAAGATCCGGAGAGGATCTCTTCCTTACTAAGACAATATCGAACCGATATACCAAAATTTTCATTTTAAAATTATATTGGCAGTATCGAACCGTGAACTTAGCCTACTCCTACACATCTCTACCGATCCTCACCACAGCTAACCCCAGTGGTTTTGATCCACCAATTTTCTACAACATAAAATTCTGGAAGTGGTCCCAACTCAGAAGTTAAAATGCTTCTATTCTGCAAAGGATTTGTAACTCAGTTATCACTAAAAACATTCAAATTTCCACCTTGAGGTCGCGAGTTCGATTCCAATTCCCCCACCCCAAATAACACATGGGGAAAACCTTAGTTATGAGCATTATCGTGAATTACTTGAGCATGCTACCTACCTTGGCACCTTCCTATATCTGATAAACTACATCCCAAACAAGCAAAATAAACAAGGTCCAAAACACCATCGGTACCAAATCCTCGTGACGGCCTCACGGCCCTCACGAACGGCTGGGATTATTACACACAATCGTTCCTGACATTTGAAAATGCCCACAACAGCTTCCAACCATCTATCACACACAAGAGACCTGACATAACAAGATCAACTTAAACAGAAGCAGAAGCCACATGGGTAGAGAAATGAGAGCATGTGTGCAATACATAAAAAGATTAAACCTTGTAATTCCAAGACTTTTATCAGATTTTATCCAGCTTTTCTGCCTTGACAACCGGGTTGGCTTTGGCTATTGCATCCTGAGCAGCAGTCCGGTAATCATGAGGGCAGTTGTGTTTATCAGAGTACCGATGAACTGCACAAAAGAGATCTCCACATCGGCAACTGAACCCAGTTAGACCAACACGTTTCCTGCAAGTGCCGCACCTGGTAGGAGTCTCTTTCACCTTCTCCTCCCTCTTAATGTTCAAAGATGGAGTAGAGGATGCCTGTGTTGAGATAAGCATCACATCTGCGGGGCCAGCTTGTACATCTACAGCAGCAGTAGCAACAGGCCCCTTCCCACTTTCAGAGGGGCTGCCATTCACCGCGCTATCAATGGATGCCGCAACGACTTTAGCTTGTTCTTGCTTCAACACCAAGTCCTTGTGGCACTTGGAACACAGATTCATGGTTGCTGGACTTCCAAAGAATCCACAGTTGTTGGCACAAAGCTTGGGAGCTTCAGGAGGAGCTTGGCATCCTGTCTCATTGTGCTCCATTTTCTTAGAATTTCCTGCATTGTAATTCACTTAAGTTCTCAAAAAATATACAATAACACAGCTCAAGGTAGACATCTACCCCTGCCAGACGTCTACAATATTACACAGCCAAGCAATTACAACAGTATAAACAAGCAGACTCATCCATCAACTCATTAAATTAAAATCAGCATAGTAGTTTGAATCTTAGCATAAGAAAGATGGAATGTTAGATCGCCAACTAAAAGGACCATATTAACTGGAAAATCGCCAACAAAAAGTAGTGAGGACTTCCCTTTATTCTCAGTGTAGAGAAGTATGCTTCATGTATGACAATAAGTTGGATAGTAGATATAAGTATTGATGCTCTGATTACAATTCTAGTTTTGAAGCCTCAAGATGAAACTTGTATCTAATTGGGAGAGTTCCACTTAACTAGACATACCTAATAAACAGTGAGAAAGAAGAAAGCTCACTTTATACTTTTTATCTTTTTCTGTTAGGGGAAAATGTGCATAACACCGTTGGGTGTGACCATATGAGTAGTATCCTTTGCCCAAGTGTTCAATCAGTTAAACTGAAAATATAACAATGCACGGATATGACAGCTTGTAAAACATGTATTTCATCCTTCTTGATAGGATAGCAAACCTTATTAAAGAAAGCAATACCATAAGAGGTCAACTGCCACTGCCACTGCCACTGCCACTTCCTCTTATTTTATTTTTCTAGTGATAAAAGCCAGGCACAGAAGAAGTTTTTATCCCACCAATCTATTTCCCCCTTCACCTCATACAAAGGGAGGGCGATTTATGAAAAAAATGCCATTTGAGAGATATGGCGATAGAAAGAGACAAAGACAAAGATGGGCTAGCGAAAGATAATAATTCTCGGAAGGCAGAGGTTTTAAGTAAAAGAAAATAAGCCTACTTCCTTATTCTGCAATTTTTTTTTTACAATCATTAAACAGGGCAACCCCCATAAAAAACCAAGGAATGAGCTTTTGCAGTCTTGCCATTTTGTCCGAGGAGTTCCATTAATGTAAATCTGAGATTAATGTAAACAAGCACTGTCTTACCTCCTTGTAAAGGTGACAGTCGGTATAACAACAATATGAACAGACTTCGGCTGCAATGATCTTGTAATAAAGAGTAAACACAGTAAAATAAACACCAACCACATATATTTAGCTCAAGAGTGGGGAAGACAACAGTAATTCAAGTCTACTGTCACAACAACCCAATGCACATCCAAAAGTGCTAGTTGAAGTTAACTATTGCACTCCTAGGCCTTACTAAAGCAGCCACTGTCTTCCCACTGCAAAAGGTATGCGGGATTTGGGGTATCAGAAGACAACAACTGACAGAACAGTAGCCCTCTCGGTCATAGAAAATTTAATTTACCTGGTAAAGGGGAATTCAACACCGTATGAAAATACGAAGGGTCTTTCTATAAACTCGATGGAACTACTGATTTTCATAAAACCTCAAGAACGCAATTGAAACAAATAACAAGGTAAAACTACATAGCTAGATGATACCTAACCAATCTGAACCTGATCATAAAATAGTGTGTTCCACCGTTTTCGACCAATTAGAATACTAGAAATCCCATGATTCCATGACTATCTCTCTATATCTATATGTATATATACACATATATACATGTATATTGTTAAAGAAAATAAGGATGGTAGAAGGATGTCTTAGCGGTGGCACTGAGTCATGGCTTTTTATTTTTTTTATTTTTTTTATTTTTAAGTTTCATATTAATACATAAACATACTAATCATGCCATTAAATCTACTTCTTCAAGCTAATTCAAACCAATTGCTAATGGCAAAACACACAAGTAATTAAACCAACTCATCAAGCTTCAAACTTTGAGAACTATTCATTTAAATCTGCATAAAAAAAACCTTAATTTCTTATTCTTAACATCCTCACACCAGGGATTAAGGTCTATTCTCCCATCAGAACCCAAAACCCACGATCAAAATACCATTTTTTTTTCATTTGAAAACTTCACATCTTTCATCACATACATAAGCTGCTCCGCTTCTTCAGCCATCCTTAACATAATTCATCGAAAAAAGCAGAACCCAGAAGCGAATAGTGATTAAAAACAACAATCTACGACTCACCTGTTCGCAGAGGAACCAACCTCTTCAAAGTAGCTCCTGCAGTTCACACAGAGATGGTTCCTATCCGCTTCCCTTCAATAATCCAATAATCAAATAATCAAACAATCAAAATTTCGAAAATCAAACACACATAGACAGAGAGAGAAGAGAGAGAGAAGAGAGAGAGAGACGAACCCTAAAGCGAACAGGAGAGAGGGAGAGAGAGGTGTGAGGAGGAGAAGCAGAAGCCATATATGTTCCAGCTTCGACTTTATAAGCGATGAGAGAGCGTGGAGGGGGTGACCCAAAGCAATGATCAGGTGTTTCCGTGGTGTAGTGAGTCAACCTACGTTTCTAGTTGTGATTGGTGGAGGAGGGAATCAGTAAGATTAAAGGAATTTCTTGCCCTCTGGAGATTAGAAGTATCCGACCATTTAGACTCTCGAAGACACGGAATATGTATAGAGTCGGGTGCAGACAATCCTTCGCGTCAAGAAGTGGAAGTGAGTTACGTGCCCGATATTGTTTTGTTTTTTATTTGTTTTTTTTTTCCCCCTCGATGTTACGTGCGCTGCGCAGTATTTTGTCAGTTTCTCATATAGCATCCCAATACATGTAGGAATAATATCGATTTGTTAACGGGTGGAGTTGTTTAAATTTAAAAAAAAAAGCAGCTTTTAAAAAAATTGGAGCTAAAATTATTTTGGTAAATAAAAAGAAAAAGTATTTTATTTCAAAATTATGAGTGTTAAAGAGCGGAAAGAAGAAACAACTCTATTCATATTTGCTCTACCATACTTCTAAAAAAAACTATTTTTGACAATCCTAGTTTCTCTTTTTTTTTTCATTTCTAAAAGCACTTCTAACCTAACAATTTATCAAATACTTTTTTTTTCTTTCCACCTTCGTTTGTTTTTACAGCATAACAGAAATAGTTTTAGAAAAAATAGTAATACCAAACTAGTCATAACTTGATTTCACTATAATATGGTGGTGAGATGGGTTGTGGTGATACCGGTAACGAATTGGATATTAATAGTTACTCATTAAAATTTCAAAAAATGAACACATATGATGATTGAGATAAAATAAAGGGAGCAAGTGACATTTTATCACAGTGATGAAAATGAGTTAAGCTTTTGCATGACAGTATGGATTCGAACCCATTCGATGACTAATCTAACATCTAATCTAATAAAACCAATCGTTTGATAAAAAAATAAGAAAAAAAATAAATAAAGGGTAAGGAATAAAATTAGATTTTGTATAAATTAACAAGAGCTACAAAACAAAATATAAGCCAAAAAAATAAAAAAGAGAAAAAACCCGACGATATCATACGAGTACGACACGCCCCGCTCTCCTTCTCTTTTTACAATCAAGGATTCCTTTTTTTTCTCCCGGTAATTCTCTCCCGGCGGATTTTTCCACGAAACCCTATAACCCAATTTCCTAAGAAATCATTTACGTCACCCTCCGGGGAAATCCCCGAGTTCCGGCGGGGAGGGGTTTTGATCGGCTGCGAGGATATTTTAAAACGCGAGCTAGGGTTTTACGATTGGTGGAGGTTTCTGAAGCATTGGGGCGGTAGGGTTTGCTCTTTAAGGCCGAAATTAGGGTTTCGTGGCGATGGGGAGCGTGGATCGAGTCGATGATAGGACCTTTAGGGTTAATTTGACGGGCGATTCAGTCATCAAGTTGAGAGAGAGTGTGAGAGAGAAGCTTAAGGAGTTCATGGGGGATTACACCGACGACACTCTTGTGGTACGGACTCTCTCATTCGGCTAATAGTAATCTTTTGCGCATTGTTCTGAAATTTATGCTGATTATTAGCCAGTTTTCAGTGCTTTGATTGGGGAATTTTTTCCCGTTTGATTTTCTGTTTTAATTGGAGTGATTGCCTATTGTTTTCGTGGTTCTTATTTTATATATGGAGTTAAGGTTGGGATTTTGATTTGGTTTCGTCTTCACTGTCATGAAACTCTATTGGATATCTTGGATTTGATTTATTTTGATGTGACCATGAATTGGTATGAACTGTTGATGTTGCCATTCGGTTTAGGGTAAGACAACATAGGTCGGACAGGGAGATATGCCGAACCATGGAAATTTGTTTCCATTTAAATCGTCGCTTAGATTTTTGAGCTCTCTTTGAGTTGATATGATTATGTAGAGAATGGTTGCAGTTCTCTTGCTTCAGGTTGGCTACCTTTTATGAAAAAAAAGAAAGTTCGAATACCTTATTAAGGGGTTTTAACAAGTTTATGCCATTGTTCAAAATATGAGCTGTCAGGTCTTTTTGACAAAGTTTGTGACTGCAGTGCTTGGGTTTTTGCATGGGATTCCTTAAGGTGGTTGTCCGTGTAGGGAGTTTTTAAAGGCGGAAAGCTTTCAAGAGGGAGGGACAACATACCAATGTGAAAAGTCCTCTTACAAGATGCTGATGCCCTCCCCAAATCTTTCAAATGCTGATTTTCTCCTTAATGAGGAAATATAATGTGATGTTCTTAATAGCTGCCAGATTCAGGTGGACTGCTGCCGAATGCTAAACTAATGAAACAAAAAGGAAACAGGCGGGGGGGGGGTTACATTGGGTCCTTTGTTGTGTATATCCTGACATATGTATGTATGTGTGCCACAAGCTTTAAACAGAATTTGAACGGTTACATATAGACTTTTAATTTTGTAGGGGTGTATTTGTGGGTTTTCATATTGAGCTACTTCTTCTTAGTATTAGGCAAGGAAGCATAAAGTTTGAGCATGCTTTTGAAGCTGAAAGGACATGGCTATTTAAGGTGTCCATAAAAGAAAATTTAAATGCAGTGTTAGCTCAGTACATCTTGGACTTTCACTGGACACTTTGAGATTGCTTTCCGATCTTATCATGGTCCTTATTTTTAACCTTAGAGAAGCAATACAACCATGAAATTTAAATACACAAATTGGAATATCTTGAAGTACCAGTATCATTCTTTTTCAGATGTTATTGTTATTATAAGCAAACCGTCATATTAAGTGTGTGGTTCTGTCTTTCCTGAGATTACAGTCTTGTTCATATGTGGGTTGTTTCTTGGGCTCCATATTTCTTAGGGAATATGATATCAATATCTTTGTGTTAAATGACCAAGTGACATATAACATTATTATATTTTTGTTTGGTCTACAGATATATAGTTGGCACTCTGTGGTTTAATTTTACATTTATTTAGTTCCAAATGATGCATAGCCATTATGTTTTATCCAGTTCCATCTTTCGAGCAATACCGTAACTTCTGAAACATATCTCTGATAATTAATGGTTTTAGTTACCAGTCCTAGTTAGTAAGAACTGTTTTTTTCTTTCTTCTTTTTCTAGTAATAGGTTGTATAGGTAAAAAGAAGGTTCTCTCTTTCTCTCTCTCCCTTAGGGTATGAGTGATCAAAATTTTGTTGAAGTGATGCCATTCGAAGAGAGTTGCTATATGCTTACTATTAAATTTTAGTGATATCCTAGAGTTCTTGTCATCTTGTTACAGTCCTGATTATGTGAACCCATGCTCTAGTGGCTGAAATTGGTCCATTGGGATTATTTGATTCTAAACATTTCTCTTTCCCCTCTCCTCCCCATCGGATGTCTAATTAGTCAAGCTTATGAAGTAATTTGAACTAGATTGTACTCCATGCTTGCCATCTATAACCTTAGAATTTTTTTCTGTGCCCTTCATATATCTGTCAGTGTAGTTTAATATGCATGAGATGAAAGCTGAAACATATATGAGGACGTTTTCTTCTCTTCTTCTTCATTTAAATTTGTGTTCAATTGTCTGCTTGGGTTCAACCCCTGGTTTTTTTGTCTTTTTGTAAATATATCCACAGAAAAAAGTAATGGCACTAGAACTCTCGCTAAGTTTTCTAATTTCCTTGCAGGAATACGTTATTGTCCTTCTAAAGAATGGCAGGGGCAAAGAAGAAGCAAAGAATGAGCTGAACGTGTTTTTGGGGGATGACAGTGATTCTTTTGTTTCTTGGTAATTGATTATTTTCCCTCGTTATGAGCAATGTTATTTCACATATAATGGTTGTTTAGTTTGGAACATACATATTTATTGTGGGCAACATTCTAAAATTTTGTTTTAAGTTTTTTTTTTCACTAGGTTGTGGGGTCATCTGGCTTCAAATTCGGATTTGCATCTACAATCAGAGGATCCTGAGGTGGAAGATGTGAGTAAAAGAAAAACCACATCAGGTGACCTTACAGGAAAAAGTGATTTGTATCATTTGGGTTCTGAGCCAGAAAGGGAGAAGTCTAATAAGTCAACTAAAAGCCGGCACACTAGAGAATGGAAAGGGCTAACAAGGGATGCAGCTGAGCCCCCTCCTTTTCGAAGCTCTGAGATCGGAGATATTCATGTAGAAGAAAAAAGTCGTAGCAAAGTCAGTGATGCGAAGTCTCCTTCGCGTCAACCTGCAGCTCAAAGGAAAAGGATTCGGCCTGATGAGCGACACAATACAGAGGTTTGATTTTGTGTTTTTTTCTTTCTTTCTTTTATGATATTGAGCAGGGGGTACTTGAATTTGATTCTAATAATTTGAACATGGATCTTGCTGCTGTATTGGGGCATATTGATTCATGTGATAATTATCCATTTTGAAGTTGTGTGGAATAGGCAAATCTTTTTTGTCTCTGTTAAATAGATATAAATAACTTCTTTTATCCTGAACTGTGGTGTGGACTGCTATACTACAGAATTCAAGGCACTTATACAGTATTGGAACTATCCTTTCTGTATTCAGGACTTTTCCTTTTCATACTAATAACTTTTGAAATTGAAAGATTTGTTCAAGTACTTGGTCTTGTTCAGTATTATTCAATCTATCAGTGGTCCATTATTGATAATGTTTTATGAATTTGTTTTCATGTGCTTGCGTGGGTGCCTATAGGCTATAACCTGCCTTTGGACATATTAATGGTTTTAAATGTCCATATTGTTTCTTTTGTCACGCTCTAGCAATCCTCCTTTGCTTCTTCTCTCCACACAAAGAATATCCCCACCCCCAAAACATTGTATTTTATGCTTATTGCAAGGGTTGATTGAGTATGCAATTTAAGAAAGATCATTTTGGAGACTTATTTCGTATAGAGTGTATGCACTTTGATAACAATTATTCAACTTTCTCACTCGATTATCCTCTTCTTGACAGAGGGAACCAGTTTCTGAAGTGACTATTGATGCCCCTCGACGGCTACTCCAATTTGCTATGCGTGATGCATTAACGACCTCAAGGCAATCCAATTCAGCAACTCAGCCCACGTTGAAGCGTCTTCGTTCTGTGGTATCTAAACCCACTGTTGACTCATCATTGGTTGATCGTCCTCGACGGATTCAGTCTGTCGCCAGGGTGCCAAATCCCATGTCAACTGTAATGAAAGCTGTTGCAGAAGCTGCTGAAGATGTAACAAGAGTTAAACCTTCAAGGAGTGTGTTTGACCGACTAGGTCGTGGTATGGAGTTTTCTGAGACCAGTGTGCCTCTTGCACCATCCAGAGATGCTGCTACCGAGGATGTTGAATTTGAAGATGTCGTCCAACTTAATGAACAAAAACGATCGTCATATCCGGCTAGAAGTGAATACAGTGGACAGTATGTAGGGAATGCTATGTTAGAAAGTGAAACTGGTTTGGCTTCTGATTTTGTATCGGACAATGAAGGGTTTGATGATGTTAATGTTATGGGTCGTATAGTTACTGATGTTTCTCAAACTGGGACATCTGGTGGAAGCAAGGCTGAAAATTTACTAATGGCGCGTTACAATGTGGCGAAGAATGTTGATGATGTTATGCAGCTATCCAGGAATAAAGATCACGGTCAATCTTTTGCAGCTGCGAATTCTTCTCATAAGATTGTGAATATATCTGTGAATGTCAATACTTGGAAAGCACCCCATTATCAGGAGCCAAGAGAAGTTGCTGGTGATGATTGGAAATCCCTACAGAATAGTGAGGCAGGGGTTGCCAAATCTGGTTTGCATGTGATGAAGGAGAACGGCAATCCTGTTGGAGCAAGTAATGGAAATGTAAGATGCACGCACACTCCCAAACCTTCCTCTCCTCTATCATCACTTGTACATTAAATTCACTTGATATTTCATTGCACTTAGAGACTGTTATTGAATGTCTTTTTATGATATCAGGTAACACCTGCTGCAGATTCTCCTAAGATGCTTTCCTCTTCTGCTGGTGAGTTTTGAAACTTCTAAAATAATCCTCTCTTTTTTTTTTTTTTTTTTTTTCCACATTATTACTGCTTACCTCCATTTAGAGATGAGAGAAGTCAAGTCCCTACTTTTTATTAGTTAGTCAAATAATTGATTCTCTTTCTGGTGTTGGATCTCCGTCATTCGAGTAGTATCCAAATATGCATCTTTATTAATTTTTTTATTATGGAATATCGTGCAGGTCTATATGCCAGTGGACGCCCATTGGAGGATGCAGATTGTCGAACTATCTTTGTTAACAATGTAATACCTTCCTTCTTGTTGTTCAATGTTTGAGGTTTTGTCTCGGTTTTGTGCAATTTCAGTTTTAGTTATATTTTTTCATGAATGCACAGGTCCACTTTGCTGCTACAAAAGATAGTCTTTCTCGACATTTCAACAAGTTTGGGGAAGTGCTAAAAGTAGTGATAGTTACTGATGCAGCAACTGGGCAGCCTAAAGGGTAAGATGTCTCATCATAATTCTTCTTAGCTCTTGGCCTAGTCCTTCCTTTTATACGAGGACAATATATATTCCTTAGTTAGTCTTTACTAAATAACTTTACTTGAGCAGGTCAGCTTACGTAGAGTTCACACGGAGGGAGGCCGCAGACAATGCATTATCTCTGGACGGAACCTCTTTCATGTCAAGGATCCTCAAGGTAAACATTTGTAGTAACTAGAACTAGTGATGACTTTTTGCTATTGTGAGGTCTTTGGAGAACAGAACTCTATTTAGCTTCCTTCTTAACATATGATTTTTCATGGTAAATCTTTGCCGTAAGGATTTGTATGTGTCATTGCATTTTGGGATTTGATTCGTCAGCCATTAGACGATATTAACACTGATCATGAATCCTTACATTTTGCATTTGTAATTTATGGTGTTTAAATGTAGGAGTGAAATCTTTACCCGTGTCATTATCCTATTGCAGGTTGTAAAGAGGGGAGCTGCACATCAAGAAGCAGCTCCGGGCATGACGTGGCCAAGGGTTGCCCGGGGCACTCCATTTGCCACTGCCAGGTTTGGTTGGTCCCCATTCCAGAGAGGCATGTCTGGTGCATATAGGCCTCGCCCCCTAATCAAACCTGGTGCCAGGAGCATGCAGTGGAAGCGTGATACTCAGGCCAATCCAGGTGAGATGGGTGCTCCAGTCACTGCCACTGCTGTTCCTTCACCAACAGCTCGCAGTCTTAACCTATGTTCGAACAGAACCTAAGCCAGACGGAAACAAGTCCCGAATATGACGTTACCTTCTGCGGTATGCCCGACATGAAATGCTCGTGGTCCTCGGAATTCCAATAAATTGGGGTATATTCTTTTTGTATATGGTCGAGAACATTTTTACATGGAGGCGGAAGAAGTGAAGGCGAAGGCTTCCCCACTCGAAAATTTTGGCTTTATTCTTTGGGTTGGAGATGAAAGGGAGTTAATTATGGCATGGGATCATAAAGCGATGGAAAACATTTTTGGAGATAAGAGTAGTAGTCAGCTCATCAAGTGTTTTCTGACGGAGATGTTACTGTTTAGGTTCAAATTTGTGTATAGACGGACAGATTAATGGTTTATTTTTTGAAGGATATTAACTTTGTTAATCTGTTTCGTAACATTTATATTTTGATAAAAAAAAAGAGAAAATGGAAAAAAAGAGATATTAATTGCCTTGTATAGTGTTGTATGTTGTACATTTAGCGGTAGCAGCTTCCTGTTAGAGTAGGAATTCTCACTCAAAAAGTCAAAATTCTTAGTGTTTTAATCGTGGAGCTTTGTGATTACGATCAGAATCGTTCATATTATGAATCACATTGTAAAGATTATCTTTGCAAAAATTAAATTAAAATTAAGGTCGTTTAGTCACTCTATTGTAGTAAATACATAGACGGTTCCTAATGCTTTTACCAATACTGTTAATTTATTTTTAAATAGTTTCATGACTAAACGACCTTAGTTTTAATTGATTTTTAGCAAAAGCCATCTTTATATAGTGATTTATATAATAGAACAATTCTGATAATAAACACAAAGTTCTATAAATTGACAACAAACAATTTTGAGAAATTTTAAGTAGGTAAAAATTTCTACTCATCTTTGAGTAACTGAGTATTGTTCTTTGTTTTATCCTAAGCCCTGTTTATTTATTTTTTTTTTTGTGGGAAAATATTTTAGATTGTTTGTAACAATTCTCAAATTTAAACGTAGTCGTTCGATAATTTCCTCTGTGAGTGCATTGTCCATGTGCTGCAAAGGGGGACTTTGACTTTGTGGCGTACCAACTACCAAGTCTTGTTATTGATAGCTTGAGAGATAGTTTTGGCAGCTTCATTCAACAAAACAAACAATGGTAGCTGGAGAATTATTTCTTGGGGCATTTCTGCAGGTGCTGCTCGACAGGTTGACGCCCCGCGGTATCCTCAACTTCGGTCGCCTACGGATTGTCGATAGGAAACTGAAGAAATGGAGTGCAATACTGTCTGCAATTGGAGCTGTGCTGTATGATGCGGAAGAGAAACAGCTCACAAGTGAGGCAATCAGACTGTGGCTGGATGATCTCAAAGACCTGGCTTATGATGTGGAAGACATATTGGACAGATTCTCCATTCAGACGTTACGACGCAAGGTCAAGCAGCGACATGGAACTCGAGCGAGCAAGGTACGGAGCCTAATTCCTAAAGCTAAATTCAACTTTTGTATGAACATGAAAATGAAGGAGATTACGGATAGACTGGTAGAGATATCTGAACGGAAGGACCAGCTTCGCTTGAACGATACTGGAACTTCGGCATACACTACTAAGGCATATAGAGTGCCTCCCAGTTCTTGTCAACCAGATGGACCTGTTATCGGAAGGGATGAAGACAAAATGAAGATGGTCGAGTTGCTGTCAATATCCGAGCCTTGTACCAGCAACTTTCATGTAGTTTCCATTCTTGGCATGGCGGGGATCGGAAAGACAACACTTGCAGGACATGTATTCAACGATGATGCCATGGAACAGTTCGATCTTAAGGTATGGGTGTATGTGTCGGATGACTTCAACATCGTAAGAGTGACAAAGGCAATTCTTGAATCGATCACATCCGAGCACTGTAAGTTGAAGGAGTTCAGTAAAGTTCAGGACAATCTGAGTAAGGAATTAGCTGGTAAGAAGTTTCTGATTGTCTTGGACGATGTTTGGAGCACATGTGACTATGATATGTGGACGAAGTTGCAGTCCCCATTTCGGGTTGGAGCACTGGGAAGCAAGGTGCTTGTGACAACACGTCATGAAACAGTTGCGAAAATTATGGGAGCCATTCAAGTTCATAATTTGAATTATATATCAAATGATGATTGCTGGCAAGTGTTTGAACAGCATTCATTCTTGGACATTAACAATGGCAGACCGCGCAATTTTGAGTTACTTCGGGAGAAAATCCTTGCAAAATGCAATGGATTGCCTCTGGCTGCGAGAACTCTTGGTGGACTTTTACGGTGTAAAGGAATGGGCGAATGGCAAGGAATATTAGACAGCAAAATATGGAGTCTATCAGATAAGAGTGGCATTCTCCCAGTACTGAAATTGAGCTATCACTCTCTCCCTTCAAACCTTAAAAGATGCTTTGCCTATTGCTCAATACTTCCCAATGACTACGAATTTAGTGAGAAGCAGTTGATCCTCCTGTGGATGGCAGAGGGTTTGATTCAGCATTCGGAAGAAGGTAGACAAATGGAAGATCTGGGTGGAGAGTATTTTCAGGAGCTTTTATCCAGGTCATTGTTTCAGAAATCGAACAAAAGCAATTCAAAATATGTAATGCATGACCTCATTAGTGAACTTGCACGGTGGGCTGCAGGAAAAGTATGTTTTAGATTGGAGGATAACGTGGATAAGAGCATGCAACAGCTCAGATGTACTCCAAAAGCTCGTCATTCTTCTTACATTTCTGGAGAGTTTGATGGGGCTCAAAAATTTGGCACCTTTTTCTCGGCTAAACACCTGCGGACTTTCCTACCGTTTACACTTTCAGAAAACCCCCAGAATTATGTGACTTGTAAGGTTACTCTTGATTTATTGCCAAAATTGCAATACTTACGGGTCTTCTCAATGAACAGCTATCAAATAACTGAGCTACCAAATTCGATTGGTAAACTGAAGTTTCTACGCTACCTTGATGTTTCTCACACACTGATAACACGGTTACCTGAATCAACAAGCACACTTTGTAACTTACAGGTATTGCTATTAGAGAATTGTTCACGTTTGGAGGTACTGCCCATAAACATGAGGAATTTGATTAATTTGCGTCATCTCAACAATTCAAATGTACCTTCTCTGAAAGGGATGCCTCTGCAACTAGGGCGGTTGACTAATCTGCAGACACTAGCCAATTTTGCCGTGGGTAAAGGTAGCGCGTCAAGGTTGATGGACATAGGGCCCCTATTGCATCTTCGGGGGACATTACACCTCTCAAGATTGGAGAATGTGACTGAAGTTGAAGATGCAAGGAGGGCTGACTTAATTAGCAAGGAAGGGATTGATTTCTTGCTACTACAATGGTCAGAAGGGAGTGGCACAAGAGAAATGGAGGCAGATGTTCTTGACATGCTACAAGCTCATAGAAATCTCAAGGAACTCACCATCAGGGGATATAGTGGTGTGAAGATTTCTACTTTGGTGGGAAATCCTTCGTTCACTAATATTGTAGTTGTACGCTTACAAGATTGCTGTAACTGCAAATTCTTGCCACCACTTGGACAATTGCCTTCTCTGAAAGAGATTTCTATAAAAGGAATGTCTGAAGTAGAAAATGTGGGTTCCGAGTTTTATGGAGAGGGCAACTTTCCTTTTCCGGTACTAGAGACCCTTTCGTTTCAGAATATGCAACGATGGAAGGAGTGGTTTCCTTGCGAACGACTTCAGGGAATTAGAGAGTTTCCTTGCCTGAAAATGCTTTCCATAGATGCATGCCCCAAATTGGAGGGTACGATACCTGAGAACATTTCTTCAACATTTCTTCATTAGAAAATCTTGTGATTCGCGAATGCGATCAGTTGGTGGTTTCAGTTGCCAACTACAGAGAACTTTGCACGTTGTGCGTCCACAGTTGTAAAGGCTTGGTGTATCAGAGTGCGGTTGAGTTTCAGTTGCTAGATTTGGAAATAACTGGTTGTGCAGAGCTGACACCGTCGTTGCAGAGTGAGGATACATTACTGCAACACTTTACTTCTCTTCACCGTTTGACAATTGAAGGTAATTCTCACCTAGTTCAATTGCATCACCTGACATCACTTCAAGAACTTCACATTGACAAATGGCCAAGCCTAGTTTCTTTTCCAGAAGTTGACTTGCCGCCTTCTCTTAAGGAAATAAAGATTCGAGGTTGTGATTCTCTCACGCATTTTGCAAGATATCGTCTACCCCCAAGTTTAAGAAGAATAGAGATAAACAGATGCCAAAATTTGAAATCATTAGTGGAGGACAGAGATGGTTCTGCATCATCATCTTCTTCTCCTTGTTTGACACAAAATGAGGAATCTTGTCTTGAATACTTGAGCATATGGAGTTGTCCATCTCTGACGTCCTTGTCATCTAGAATCCAGCTGCCCAAGGCGCTTAAGCACCTTCAGATACACACTTGTAAACAACTGGAGTTCATAACTGACACGTTCGACCACAACACTCATCTTGAATACATTCATATCTGGTATTGCCCAAATCTTAAATCTTTACCAGAAGGCCTTTGCTACCTTCCCAATCTTCAGAAGTTGAGTATTTATGGTTGTAGAAGTCTTGTTTCGTTCCAGCGGGGAGGATTTGAGATAATCGCTTCCAATTTGAGAGAGATTGACATCACTAATTGTGATAAACTGGAGGCCTTACCCAAAGGCATGCACAACCTCAACTCTCTCGAGATATTAAGAATCCCTTATTGTGATGGTTTCATGTCCTTTCTAGGAGAGGGCTTTCCCCCTAACCTAATATCACTTAAAATTCTGAATCTCAAGAGTTGCGAGCCACTCTTCCAATGTGGTTTGCACAGACTAACCTCTCTCAGAGAGTTGTGGATCAGCGGTGAAGATCCAGATCTAGTCTTCTTTCCACCTACGGAGATGGTGCTCCCCAAATCTCTCATTAAACTCATCGTTGAAGACTTCCCACATCTCCGGTACCTGTCCAGCAAGGGCTTTCAGTTCCTCACATCTCTTAAATCTCTTTACATCTGGACTTGTCCCAAGCTAGAATCCATTCCATATGAGGGCCAGCTTGTTCCACTGACACAACTTAGTATCCGTCATTGTCCTCTGCTAGAAGCGAGATGCAAACCAGATAAAGGTCGATATTGGCGCTCCATAGCTCATGTCCCTTACATATGGTTGGGAGACAAGAGGATCCTAGCTCCCTGATAAAAAATGATACAAGAGGAAACATTCAAGCCTACTATTCTCATACTCCGTTCCAGGTATTTCAAATTTGAGAGAAAATCAAGAATTACATAAGAATGTTTATTACCCGCCATTGTATCTTACCTTCTATCTATATCTTCTCCATTTAGGCATATTTGCTTTCAGAGGTTCGGTATATTCAGACGCTGTTATCACTGGAGAAATTCAATGTCTGTCAGGTACGTGTTCTACACTTGTTTGCATGCTATGAATTTGCATTCTCCTCAACTACGTTCCTCGAAGAACTAAGAAGCTTTATTTTAGAGGCTTTTCCATACAACCAACAACTACTAATATGTTTTGACAAAGGGTTTAGGGTCTGTTCTGCAACTTGTACAGGATCTTTAATTGACCTGTGACTTGTGTGGCAGGTTTTAAGATCCCCTACATAAAACGTTCGAGGCTTCCCGAAAATGTCTTGTCAAGAAACCCGTATTTCTATCAATGAGAAGAAGAGATGGGGGTTGTGCATCCACAAGTGCATATTGCCATATTCAAGTGGCTGCGAAACATTATCTCTTCTTGATTTCTGCACTTAAAGGAGCTTTCTAATGCATCTATTGTTTAACATGTATAATGTAGCAGAAAGGATGACCGCAAAGTTATCTTTGTTACAATGGCGAAGATTTCTACAGGCGAAATTGCTCCCGAATATGAAGTTTCTGCTGAACAATATAGCTCCAGAAGATGCTATCGGTGTGCTCTTGACTCTCTACGATCTACGACAATTTGTAGATAGAGAATATTATTTATAGTTTGCTTTGAGCTGCTGCTCCTGCTTACTGAAGGTACTGCGTTACCTAATTTTCGCGTGTTTCAAGGTCCTGCTTAAGGCCTATTCGATGGTCCTTTAAGATCATAATTGGACCATCTGTGTGTGCATATTTCTTAATTTCTTTTGTATCATCGCTGAACGCTCGTATTGATGCGAAGCTGCTAATGAAACGCAGAGTTTGAAGACTGTAAGATTTCTTACAAGAAGAAATCGATTAACATAGTTGAAGGAGAAGACGAGGCGTTGTTGGGTTTATTGAGAAAACAATGAAATTTCTCTTACATTAGCGAGCAACGAGAAATTTGATGCGGGCTTGAGGGGTTCTGAGTTCGAATCTCTTCTGGACCAAAGTAGTTTAGAATATAATATCGTCAACAACAACAACAACAAAGCCTTTTCCCACTAAGTGGGGTCGGCTATATGAATCCTAGAACGCCATTGCGCTCGGTTTTGTGTCATGCCCTCCGTTAGATCCAAGTACTCTAAGTCTTTTCTTAGAGTCTCTTCCAAAGTTTTCCTAGGTCTTCCTCTACCCCTTCGGCCCTGAACATCTGTCCCGTAGTCACATCTTCGAACCGGAGCGTCAGTCGGCCTTCTTTGCACATGTCCAAATCACCAGAGCCGATTTTCTCTCATCTTTCCTACAATTTCGGCTACTCCTACTTTACCTCGGATATCCTCATTCCCAATCTTATCCTTTCTCGTGTGCCCACACATCCCACGAAGCATCCTCATCTCCGCTACACCCATTTTGTGTACGTGTTGATGCTTCACCACCCAACATTCTCTGCCATACAACATCGCTGGCCTTATTGCCGTCCTATAAAATTTTCCCTTGAGCTTCAGTGGCCTACGACGGTCACACAAACACGCCGGATGTACTCTTTCCATCCAGCTCGTATTCTATGGTTGAGATCTCCATCTAATTCTCCGTTCTCTTGCAAGATAGATCCTAGGTAACGAACGAAAACGGTCGCTTTTTGTGATCTTCGCTAGATTGCTCCGGTCATTAGTGTGGATAAGTATATAAATGGATAGAGATAGGAAAGCAAACACAAGATGTACGTGGTTCACCCAGATTGGCTACGTCCACGGAATAGAAGAGTTCTCATTAATTGTGAAGGGTTTACACAAGTACATAGGTTCAAGCTCTCCTTTAGTGAGTACGAGTGAATGATTTAGTACAAATGACATTAGGAAATATTTGTGGGAGAATGATCTCGTAATCACGAAACTTCTAAGTATCGGAGTGTGGTGTCGTCTTGACTTGCCTTATCTGTCTCATAGGTAGATGTGGCATCTTCTCTGGAAGTACTCTTCCTCCATCCAGGGGTGGTATCGTTAACTGGTGGAGATGCACAAGGTAATGTATCAATTTCACTTGAAGCTTACTTGTAGTTTCAGGCTTGGTCAAGCGCGATACAAACCATGTAGTAGGAGTCCCCCAAGTCGCCGAGCTAGGGGGTCTGCTGAAAGAGGTGACAGACAAGGTAAGCAATCAGAGCTCCGACTGATTGTTCACCTTCTCCCCATCTTGCAGCAGCATGAAGGATAAAGAGAAGAAAAAATGAGAAGAGATGATATGAGATACTTTTGCTTTTGAAGAAGTAACTTTCCACAGGCTTATTCTTGAACTGAGCTGGAGGGTTTTCTGGTTTCCTCCAGAGTATAAGGCCGACTGAAGAATTTGAGGGTCAAAACAAGTCCATCAAAATCTAGAGTACGTTCCACCCTGCTGATATGGGATACTTTTGCTTTTGACAGAGTAATGGATGTATCGGCACGTGTGCTGTTACGCTTGTCTCCACATGCTTCCTTGTATCCTTCGCACTTGCCCTATCTGTTCCTCAAGCAGATGCGGAATCTTCCCTGGAAACATAAGATGATGAAGATGAGTACTCGAGAGCAATGCCAGGTAAGTAATCAGGTAAGGGGTTCCAGGCAGTCAGTTCCTGACTGGAAGCTTGATTCCAAGTGCTGACTGATTGCTCTCTTTCTCCTTGTCTTGCAGGTAAAAAACAAGGCCAAAAGAAAAAACAGGGAAAAAGCATGATATGGGATACTCTTGCTTTTAACCCTGATGATATGAGATATTCTTGCTCTAGTATAGCTTGTTTGCAGAGGTATTATCGGGGGGAAAGAAAGCTGAATATTTCGAAAGGCTTTGTTGGGAGTGCCCTCTCAGATATGATGAAGGGTTGAGCATTTTTGCAGGTCTGCCTGTCCGTTGGGGATGGAGGTCGACATATATAGGAGTCTCCCTAACAACAAGTAGTAATGCTATTCCTTTACCCTGCTTGGTCATAGCACGGTAGTGGGAGCTGCCAGTTTCACATGTTTTTAACTCTGTCAGAGCACTTTGAAAAAAGTGGTCTGTGGTATCTGGCTCTCTCGAGATTCGGAGAACGATGCCTCTTCGATTTTTGAGAAAGCAATCATGCTGGGGGTCTGACTCTCGAGATTCGGAGAGCAGTGTCTTCGATTTTTGAGGAAGTAATCATGTTGGGAGTCTGGCTCTCGAGATTCGGAAGGCGGTGCCTCTTCGATTTTGGAGCAAGCAATCTTGTTGGGAGTGTTGTCTCGAATGTGAGTAAAGGTTGGACATGTTTGCTAGTCTACCTTGCCACGAAGCACAAAGGTTGACACACAGGGACTTTCCAATTATCCAGCAATGGTACTGTTCCTTTACCCTCTCTTCGATTTTGAGAAAGTAGTCATGTTGGGAGTCTGGCTCTCGAGATTCGAAGGACGGTGCCTCTTCGATTTTGGAGCAAGCAATCTTGTTGGGACTGTTTTCTCGAATGTGAGTAAAGGTTGGGCATGTTTGCTAGTCTACCTTGCCACGAAGCACAGAGGTTGACACACAGGGACTTTCCAATTATCCAGCAGTGGTACTGTTCCTTTACCCTTGTGGGTAATAATATGGTAGCTAGACCTTCAAAATTTATGTGTCTAAACTTTGTTAGTGCTGTTTATTTGCTATTCTTTTACCTTTCTTGGTCAGAGCGATGTAGTGGGAGCTGCAAGCTTCACGTGCTCAACTTTGGCAGAGAACTTTGGCAAAGTGATCTGTGGTACCCATGAGTTATTGTTGCGTGTGGGAAGTGGGTGATTGAACAGTAAGATTCATGTGCTTTCTACTTCACCAGAAGTCTTCGACAAAATGCCCATAATTTCTGCAAAACTGAGTGTGCGTGTGACAGGTGCTGACAAGGCTAGAAAAGTAGGTGCCTCTTCGATTTCTGAGATCGGCCCTCGTGGTCTCTGAGCAGCCCAGCTTTTGAGAAAGCGAGCGCCTCTTCGATTGATTCGGAGAACGGTGCCTCACCGATTTTTGAGAAAGCAATCATGCTGGGGGTCTGGCTCTCGAGATTCGGGGAGCAGTGTCTCTTCGATTTTTGAGAAAGTAATCATGTTGGGAGAGTGGCTCTCGAGATTCGGAGGGCGGTGCCTCTTCGATTTTGGAGCAAGCAATCTTGTTGGGAGTGTTTTCTCGAATGTGAGTAAAGGTTGGGCATGTTTGCTAGTCTACCTTGCCACGAAGCACAGAGGTTGACACACAGGGACTTTCCAATTATCCAGCAATGGTACTGTTCCTTTACCCTCTCTTCGATTTTTAAGAAAGTAGTCATGTTGGGAGTCTGGCTCTTTAGATTCGGAGGACGGTGCCTCTTCGATTTTGGAGCAAGCAATCTTATTGGGAGTGTTTTCTCGAATGTGAGTAAAGGTTGGGCATGTTTGCTAGTCTACCTTGCCACGAAGCACAGAGGTTGACATACATGGACTTTCCAATTATCCAGCAGTGGTACTGTTCCTTTACCCTTGTGGGTAATAATATGGTAGCTAGACCTTCAAAATTTATGGGTCTAAACTTTGTTAGTGCTGTTTCTTTGCTATTCTTTTACCCTTCTTGGTCAGAGCGATGTAGTGGGAGCTGCAAGCTTCACGTGCTCAACTTTGGCAAAGTTATCTGTGGTACCCATGAGCTATTGTTGCGTGTGGGAAGTGGGTGATTGAACAGTAAGATTCATGTGTTTTCTACTTCCCCAGAAGTCTTTGACAGAATGCCCATAATTTCCGCAAAGCTGAGTGTGCGTGTGACAGGTGCTGACAAGGCTGGAAAAGTAGGTGCCTCTTCGATTTCTGAGATCGGCCCTTGTGGTCTCTAGGGAGCCCAGCTTTTGAGAAAGCGAGCGCCTCTTCGATTTCTGAGATCGGCCTTCGTGGTCTTTGAGCAGCCCAACTTTTGAGAAAGCAAACGACTCTTCGATTTCTGAGATCAACCCTCGTGATCTCTAAGCAGCCCAACTTTTGAGAAAGCAAACGCCTTCTTCGATTTCTGAGCAGGCGCCTCTTTGATTTTTGAAGCTCCGTCGAGTGCAGATTTTTTATAGAGGCTGGCATTAAGTTCCAAAGCACACTTGAATCTCCACCAGTAGAAGCTTCATTCTTGCACTTCTAAGATCTTGATTTGTCCGACCTCTTCTCTCTTCAACACCTTTGAAAATGTCTGGCCCCTCCGACCGTCGTTTTGACTTGAACCTTGTTGAAGAGGCAGCCCCGCCTTCTCCAGACAACATATGGCGCCCATCCTTCGTCTCCCCAACTGGTCCTCTTACCGTTGGGGATTCCGTGATGAAGAATGATATGACCGCTGCGGTGGTGGCCAGGAACCTTCTCACTCCCAAAGATAACAGACTACTTTCCAAACGGTCTGATGAGTTAGCTGTTAAGGATTCGCTGGCTCTCAGTGTTCAGTGTGCAGGTTCTGTGTCTAATATGGCCCAACGCCTATTTGCTCGAACCCGCCAAGTTGAATCATTGGCGGCTGAAGTGATGAGTCTCAAACAGGAGATTAGAGGGCTCAAGCATGAGAATAAACAGTTGCACCGGCTCGCACATGACTATGCTACAAACATGAAGAGGAAGCTTGACCAGATGAAGGAAACTGATGGTCAGGTTTTACTTGATCATCAGAGATTTGTGGGTTTGTTCCAAAGGCATTTATTGCCTTCGTCTTCTAGGGCTGTACCGCGTAATGAAGCTCCAAATGATCAACATCTGATGCCTCCTCCTTCTAGGGTTCTATCCAGTACTGAGGCTCCAAATGATCCCCCTCCGGTGCCTTCTCTTTCTGGGGCTTTACCGACTGCTGAGACTTCTCCTAAGCAACCTTTGTGAAGGCTCCCTCTTGTGTGTTTATTTTGACTCATGTATATGTACATATTTGTAGCTTATCGGGGATATCAATAAATAAGCTTTCCTTCATTTCAACGTATTGTGTTAAATACACCAAAACCTTCTTCGCTAAGTTCTTTGAATTTTCTTTTGTTGAAGCTTGTATGTTGAAGCTTTTTGAGTGAAGCATGTAGGTTGGGGTAGTGTTCCCTTAATTTCCCGAGTGAGGAAAACTTCTTGGTTGGAGACTTGGAAAATCCAAGTCACTGAGTGGGATCCGCTATATGAATCTTAGAACGCCATTGTGCTCGATCCTGTGTCATGTCCTTCGTTAGATCCAAGTACTCTAAGTCTTTTCTTAGAGTCTCTTCCATAGTTTTCCTAGGTCTTCCTCTACCCCTTCGGCCCTGAACCTCTGTCCCATAGTCGCATCTTCTAATCGGAGCGTCAGTAGGCCTTCTTTGCACATGTCCAAACCACCGTAACCGATTTTCTCTCATCTTTCCTTCAATTTTCGGCTACTCCTACTTTACCCCGGATATCCTCATTCCTAATCTTATCCTTTCTCGTGTGCCCACACATCCAACGAAGCATCCTCATCTCCGCTACACCCATTTTGTGTACGTGTTGATGTTTCACCGCCCAACATTCTGTGCCATACAGCATCGCCGGCCTTATTGCCGTCCTATAAAATTTTCCCTTGAGCTTCAGTGGGCATACGGCGGTCACACAACACGCCGGATGCACTCTTCCACTTCATCCATCCAGCTTGTATTCTATGGTTGAGATCTCCATCTAATTCTCCGTTCTTTTGCAAGATAGATCCTAGGTAACGAAAACGGTCGCTCTTTGGTATTTCTTGATCTCCGATCCTCACCCCTAACTCGTTTTGGCCTCCATTTGCACTGAACTTGCACTCCATATATTCTGTCTTTGATCGGCTTAGGCGAAGACCTTTAGATTCCAACACTTCTCTCCAAAGGTTAAGCTTTGCATTTACCCCTTCCTGAGTTTCATCTATCAACACTATATCGTCTGCGAAAAGCATACACCAAGGAATATCATCTTGAATATGTCCTGTTAACTCATCCATTACCAACGCAAAAAGGTAAGGACTTAAGGATGAGCCTTGATGTAATCCTACAGTTATGGGAAAGCTTTCGGTTTGTCATTCATGAGTTCTTACGGCAGTCTTTGCTCCTTCATACATATCCTTTTATAGCTTGGATATATGCTACTCGTACTCCTTTCTTCTCTAAAATCCTCCAAAGAATGTCTCTTGGGACCCTATCATACGCTTTTTCCAAATCTATAAAGACCATGTGTAAATCCTTTTTCCCATCTCTATATCTTTCCATCAATCTTCGTAAGAGATAGATTGCCTCCATGGTTGAGCGCCCTGGCATGAACCCGAATTGGTTGTCCGAAACCCGTGTCTCTTGCCTCAATCTATGCTCAATGACTCTCTCCCAGAGCTTCATTGTATGACTCATTAGCTTAATACCCCTATAGTTCATGCAATTTTGTACGTCGCCCTTATTCTTGTAGATAGGCACCAAAGTGCTCGTTCGCCACTCATTTGGCATCTTCTTCGTTTTTCAAAATCCTATTGAAAAGGTCAGTGAGCCATGTTATACCTGTCTCTCCCAAAACTTTCCACACTTCGATTGGTATATCGTCTGGGCCTATTGCTTTTCTATGCTTCATCTTCTTTCAAAGCTACAACCACTTCTTCCTTCCGGATTCGACGATAAAAGGAGTAGTTTCTACACTCTTCTGAGTTACTCAACTCCCCTAAAGAAGCACTCCTTTCATGTCCTTCATTGAAAAGATTATGAAAATAACCTCTCCATCTGTCTTTAACCGCGTTCTCTGTGTAGCAAGAACCTTTCCATCCTCATCCTTGATGCACCTCACTTGGTTTAGGTCCCTTGTCTTCTTTTCCCTTGCTCTAGCTAGTTTATAGATATTCAACTCTCCTTCTTTGGTATCTAGTCGTTTATACATATCGTCGTAAGCCGCTAACTTAGCTTCTCTGACAGCTTTCTTCGCCTCTTGCTTCGCTTTTCTATACCTTTCACCATTTTCATCGGTCCTCTCCTTGTATAAGGCTTTACAACATTCCTTCTTAGCCTTCACCTTTGTTTGTACCTCCTCATTCCACCACCAAGATTCCTTTTGGTGTGGGGCAAAGCCCTTGGACTCTCCTAATACCTCTTTTGCTACTTTTCGAATACAACTAGCCATGGAATCCCACATTTGGCTAGCTTCCCCCTCTCTATCCCACACACATTGGGTGATTACCTTCTCTTTGAAAATGGCTTGTTTTTCTTCTTTTAGATTCCACCATCTAGTTCTTGGGCACTTCCAAGTCTTGTTCTTTTGTCTTACTCTTTTGATATGTACATCCATCACCAACAAGCGATGTTGATTAGCCACGCTCTCTCCTGGTATAACTTTGCTTCCCCTGAAATCACAAATAGGGAGGAAGATGAACTTTGAGTTCTCCAGAACAAATAGTGGTCTTGATTATCTCGTTTTAATCAAGACATGTTGTTGTGATATATATCTAGACATTATCAAAATTTGGTCGATCTTGCTCGATGGATATTGAACTAGATATTGAACTAGTTAGGATCAAATTGAATGCAAAAATATTGTGCTTGCTATTCTGATTTTGATCATTGTTGAAACTAGTGATTTTGGGTTTATGTGAGATAAGTTTTTCCGAATGGATTGTGACTATCTTTTGATACATAGACTATTTGCATAATGGTTTAGGTGTATATGACTAAACAGAGATTATGCAATTGGTGAGGAATCAGGAACCAATTGGTTCCACCATCTAGTTCTTGGGCACTTCCAAGTCTTGTTCTTTTGTCTTACTCTTTTGATATGTACATCCATCACCAACAAGCGTGTTTTCTTAAATCAAATTAATGCAACAAGCAATGTTCCCCAACAATCTGATAATCCTTTGCTGGGTTTAAACCGTGGTCCGATTGAAATTTATTTTGGGCCAAACCTCTACATTTCGGCTCGTGCCCGAGGCCCGCGCCTATATATGCGCAGGAGAGGTAGGTAAACGCCCGCCTAGAAGGAAAAATCGCTCCCTCTCTCCCTCCCTCTCTCCCTCCCTCTTCAGTTTCTGGTTCAACAAAAATGGCCGCCATGATCACACGCAGATTCAGCTCCAAGCTTTCACGACTCTATCATCATCATCATTCATCCTTGTCTGCATCCTCCACCTACCTCGCCGCCCAAAACCTCCAAAACCCTAAAATCCCAGACCACTTCACTCACTCCTCCTATTCCACTCTCTCCCCAAATCCTTTCAAATCTTCATCAAACCCCACCACCATTATCGATCATTACATAAAATCATCAAATCCAAAACCCATAAACCATAATCTAACTTGGGTACTCAATTCAAAATCCATTACTCAAAACCCTGAATTCAAAAAAACCAATCTTGGTCTTACTTTTACACAATCGTGTTCAAGGTTCAGTACCAATTTGTACAATCCTAGGTTTAATGGGTCATCAGATCAAAAACCCAGATTTTTTTCAACTTCTTCTAGTTCACCGTCACCGGATCCAGAATCTGAAAAATCCCAAAACCCAGAATCTGAAAAGCCCCAAAACCCAAATGAATACCCTAGTCAAAACCCTAACTTCAAGCACCAAGAAATCGAAGGACCGACGGTGGAGCGAGACCTTTCGACTTTGGCCAATGAGACCAGAGAAGTTCTGGAATCGATGGCCAAAAACATGTATAGTCTGAGCAGGGCATTGGCTCTTCTGGGTTTGGCTCAACTCGGCGTCGGAGCTTGGATTTCGTACATTACCATATCGACCCCAATGCCGGAGGTTTCAGTTCAGAGCATTTTGGCTTTCGGGTTACCCTTTACGCTGGCGTTCATGTTGAGGCAGAGTTTGAAGTCAATCTACTTCTTTAAGAAGATGGAGGAGCAAGGCAGGCTGCAGATTCTGACTCTCACCCTTCAGGTTGGTAAGAATTTGAATGTCTTCTTCGTTCGTGTTCGCGGCGTTTCATTCTTGTGCATTGCTGGCTTGTCAGTCGGAGTGTTGTTCGCTGCGCTTACGAGATGAGTGTGTAACTCCCGTTGATGAGATTGTTAAGTTCAAGTTTGATTGTTGGATTGTTATAATGTGTAACTTGTGCGGGAAGAAAAGATTAATCTAATACAGCCGGCACTCAATTTAAAGTCCAAAATTTCTCACAAACTAAGCCTGAACCCTGCTAATTTACCGTCACGTATTTTGCTCTTTTAATTTAATACTTTCAATATGAATTCAAGAGCAAAAATCTTAGGCTCTGATACCACATGTAAGATTAAACTTATCAAAATATAAGTTAAGAGATTAAGCTCATAAACCACAAATTTATATAAGTATTAAAATCACAATTTGATAAACACAATGACAAACTAACCCGTAAAAGCAGCAGCAGAAGAAGCCAAAGTAGACTTCTAAACAGTGCACCTTCTCCTCTCTTGCAAAACCAAAAGTACTCAAACTAACAATAGGTCTTAGTTCAATATTGAGCATATGTTTTGTGAGAGCAGTGGCTTATGTTTTTATACTAAACATAGATTGCCCTATTACAATCCTACAAGGAATACAAGACCAAATCCTTGTATAAGTATGAGTTCTATTCTCGAGCCAATAGTAGAGTTTCAATCCAAACCAAAGTTGAATTAACTCTTATAAACACATCAAGACCTCTTTATACCAATCTAAAATAACAATGATTATTACTAAACTGTAAGAATCGCACTCATACTCTAACACTTTGGACAAAAGAAAGCAGGTGAACAATTTTGGCAAATAAAAGTGGCATCATCATACCAATTGTAGTTCATCCAAAATCAAATGACAAAGTTTTCTGATGAAGGAGGAAGATATCCATGATCAACCCCAAATAATTTTTCACACAAATTTCATATACATCCAACTTCATACCCAATGCCCTCACTCAAATCCAAGTCCGAAAACGCATGTTGCTGAAGTTGCTGTTAATTTTAGCTCTGCCAAGACTGCACTCGGCATCGATTTCAAACTCCCATTGGTTCAGGTGTTGTTTAAGTTTATAATTACTATCATTTCCATTTGCATTCTAATTCATATATTCGCGATCCAGATTAATTCACCTTCTTGTTACTTTGCGTTCAATCTTCATCTCCCTCTGCACTAAAAGATGCTACAGACCGTTTGTCATTAAAGGTATGGCATGAAAATAGCACACATTGAGCAAGTTCCCACTCAGTACCGTAATAACGAGAGATTTTTCAGTGTTTCCATAATACGGAGTGAAACACTACATGTTATTATACAATTAGAGATGAACATTAAAAAGCTTTTCTTGTATAATAAGATGCGGTGTTCATGACACATATACATGAAAAATCTCTCCGCAGTTACATGATTATAAATTAATTTATTTTATTTAGACACAAGACCTCGTGCGAACATTACCTATCCAGACAAAAGACACGCACAATATTATACAGATAACTAGAGTAGAAATATTAATATGAATAGGGTGTATAAAACAGCAAGTGCAATTATATATCGGGTAGAAAGCTAGGAGAATACATCGTCTTGAAGACTTGAAATGATTATTAATTTAGAACCTACAAGTACTAGTTATATTACATTTAAAACAACACAAAAAATATAGACAAAAGAGAACCCTGGCAAAGCGACCGAAGCAGAAGAAGCAGAAGCTGATCCGGTGGCCATGGCCGGCGCCGGAGCAATCCCATCCCCAAAGGCTGAGGCTGCGATATAATTCATAGCAAGAAACATAATAAGAGCTACTGCGACCAAGAATGCCTTAGTAGAAGCCATTAGCTATATCTAATTCAGAGGCCCAAACTGCTATATATGTGAGAAGCTAGGTAACTAGGGTTTATGCAGAATGGTGCGTTGAGGTTGAGTGCAATTTTAGAGTTCCAATGCATGGTAGACACATGGACTGGAATTTGGTCCATATGGAAGCAGCTTGCGATTCATGCAGATGCCAACTCATGCCACGTATATAATTAAGTTTTGCGCATGAAATTGATGATACCATGAAAAGGGAAATTCCCTCCCGTGACCTGGTTTTCACAACGATCGAGGCCTTTAGTCTGCAATATATATTGGATAATACCATTCACACCTCATTTTTTACTGTTTACACACTTTTATTAATTTTGTCATTATTCTCAATTTATTTTATCTAACAATCAAAATTTAAGAAAAATATGTGAAAAGTAAAAATGAGTGTAAATGACACTATCCATTCCTATATATACATATTAAGAGAGAAAAACTTACATAAGGCCTGCAATATAATATATATTTCAGAGATAAAGCTCACCACATCTCCACAATCCACACGCTGCCTGCATCATTGTCTAATGGCGTACGTGGTTCTTTCAATTACTTGAGCACAAGAAGTTAGAGTACAACAGCTAACAAAAATTTTAGGTCTATCGCCATGGCCCAAGAACGAATTTTCCCATATGTGGATGGATATTTTGATGATCAAACCGTTTATTTCTTAAGATTCTAGTAAAACATCATCTCTATAAAAAAAAGTTATTTTTCTGAAAATATCTATATGTTTACATTGTGTAGAAGATTTAGGTTAAACCATATAATGGACACGATTATCAAACATATAATCTCTTACTTATAAATGAGAAAAATATTAGTAAATAGAACCATATGGCAGAACATTCATATAATATTAAAAGAGGCTTTATTCTCATTCACAGTGTCTTACCTCTCCACCCACTTTTTCATGAAATTTTTATTTATAAGTTTGTCCATTTGTAAAAGAGGCATTTTGATATAGGCGCCTCGTTTTTTAATTTTTTAGACTAAACATACACTCCTTTTGAAAATTTGATCAAACATTTTCCTAAAATTTTGGTTATTAATTTCAGTTCCTATTATCTCGATTATCCCTATATTTATGCATTTATTATCCATCTCTTGGGCATTTCGTTTTCTTTTTTTTTCTTTTCCTATTATCCCTGTATTTATGCATTTATTATCCATCTCCATGCATTTTTTTTATTGTTTGTTATAATATTTACTTTTTTTGTGTGAATATAGTAGAATATTTATAAAAAAAAATTGTCAAATTTATTATTTAGAAGACCCAACACATAGTAAAGATTTGTTTGATAATATAGCTACGTCTAGTTACCTATAATATGGACACATTTAGTTTTATAGTGGATTTGATTTTTTGTATTTCTTGGTACATTTGGAATGTAAATGTACCAAAAGGGTTATCTGATAGAGACGTTTGGTTTTGTGGTACATTTGAGATTTTTTGTTCATTTGGTCTTTTGGTACAATGGGAATCTAAACGTACCAACATGATTACTTGACAATGGGCACATTTGGTTTTATGGTACATTTGAAATTTTGGTACATTTGGTTTCTCTGTATATTTGAAATATAAACGTACCAAAAAGGTTACATAACAATGGGTACATTTGGTTTTATGGTACATTTGAATTTTTGGTACATTTGGTTTCTCGGTACATTTGAAATCTAAACGTACCAAAAGTCGATACTTTTGTTCTCAAATGTACCATAAGTTTTTAAGTATATTTTTTTATATATCTATATATGAAAAAATATGTATTAAAGATTTTTTATTGGTACAATTTTAATAGAAAGAGTATTTTCTTTAAATACTAATAATAAGGAAATGAGGAATTAGTTAATTAAAATTTTATTTTATTTTATTAAAAAAAATGTCATTTAATGCGAAGAAGGGGATTGAGGAAATTAAATTCCTATATTATAGACAATTAGTTGCTAAGCTACCTTATACCTCTATATAAATGCATTTAAATTAATGACATGGAAAATAAATAAATAGAAAATTATTGAGGTGGCAATTGATTGAAGCACCTTAATCAAATCTTTAAAAGGGATGAATGTTTAATCTAACAACTATAGAAAATATGTAGGGCCTTCTAATTTTCCGTTTGTAAAATGACCAATAAATATCTTAATAGATATATAATAATAATAATAATAATAATAATAGATTGAGTGTGAAAAGGTAACAGGAGCCGAATAATTACTTTGACTGTGAAAGAACAATAAAGGATAAAACGAATTTTGGAAAGAAAGGTGTGGATGCTCTTTTCAACTAAAGGTTAAGAAGCTAGCAATTGATGATGATTGAATATTGATGGTAGTTATTGGAGTGCATAATCACACACCGGAGCATTTACAAGTTATTCATTTATTGGTAGATTATCATGGAAGGAGACTTTGTTGTTGAGGAAATATAATTTAGTTATTTTTAGAAATATTAGTGGGTAGAGAAATAACATATTAGCAATTATTTTAGAAATAATAGTGGATAATAATAGCGTTTCAATTTATAACTTTTTATAAAGAGTAAATTTATAATGTAAATGAAAAAAAAGATATTGAGGTGAGTCTAGCAGCTCTCCATCAGAAAATATGGGAATAACAGAGAAATTGTAACAGATGCATGGGAGGACCAAGTTTCAAATCCTATTCCATGATGAAAAGCAAAACAAGAAAATGGCTTGAATTAATGGAGAAATATTATAAATATAGGGTAACATATCCTTGACTTCTCAACAGAACGCGGTAACAGATCAACGCGACAATATATTATAGTTAATTTCCTTCTTTAATTATCTTAATTTCAGGATTTTTTCTATATATGTATTAAGAAAAAAAGATCAAAATTGAAATATTTGGACGTTAATTGAAAATTTTGAGCTTGATTTCTACAAAGAAATGATTTCTGCATACATTATTTTCTTTTTTGGCAGTTTATTTCTCATACAAATGTATCACTTTGCACCTTGCAAGAGAAAGTTAAAAGTTAAAAAGTACAACAGTAAACAAATTTTCACTAGGTAACCAACAATATCGTCTGAAGATTAGGAAAACGCTATTTTATTACGTTATTATTAAAACAAATGGTTCACATAAATTTGAAAGAATGAGAACCAAGACAGACCCTCTATTCAGGAACTAAAGAAAACATCAATCTCATTCCCCTTCTTTTGAATTACTCAGTTGAATCTCTCTCGGTTGTCATGTCTTCTTTATTATTTTAATGCATGTAGTAAGCAATGAATGACACAACGGATGCACCAACCACGGACCCTAGGACGGGGAGGCTGGCAGAGGCATCACTTGGGGCTGCTCCTGGTCCCGGGGCGGGCGCGTGGGCGTGGCCTGCATGAGCCATCACAGAGCTGACAGAGGCGGCTGCGAAGAGGACAGCACAAGCAATCTTCTTCATTTCCATGGTGGCCTTCCGGTCTTTTTTAGGCTGTGATGAGCAAAAACGTAGTGGAATATTTGAGAGTTGAGGCTGAGGAGTTTGGTGGGATTGAGGAATTTATCAACTATATATAGGAGACCGTTCGTGATTGTCCTTTGGAATATTACAAAGGACAGGTATTCTTTTCCATTTTTGGCCATTTTTTTATTTTAATTTTGGGTCAATTCATAGTATATTGGGAAGGCTACATACTGTTTTTGTTTCGGAAGTTGACAATTAACGTGCGGAAGGGTTTATAGAAAATGCGAGTTGGGTGCACGTACGGAGCGCGTTTTGTTGCAGAGTTGGTAATGTATCCAAAACGGTATAGAAAAACAATGCCAAGAGAATTACTGTATTGGTGACATTTTAGGTATTAATGGAAAAGTCGACAACTTTTTATATATAAACACTATTATAAATTAAAATAATTACATGGTTGTCACTTTTAATGTTACCACATTTTCTGACCGGTCAATGTTTTCTTGTGACTAGCTATCAAATATTTCAGTGATCGGCACCAATTTTTCTTCAAATGTCACTTCCAAAAGCGAGTTATGTTAATTGATGAATTTTCTAAGTTCTCTAATTTTATTTTGTATAGTGTGGAAAACCAATAAACGCACACAGCAAAACATAATTCAAGAAGAAAAAGTTGCACCAATTGTTATTTTTTGTGTCATTGTTGAACAAGGACTATAAATTTTTGGGCGACTGGAAAAAATTTCTAGCACCAATGGCGGTGACATTATCCGACACTGACACCGGTGACATGTAAGTCATGTGCAATGAGGAAAAAAATGTAAATGTATATGCGATTCAATCCGACAATATTCCCCCTCAAGCTAAAGCGTGGATGTAAGAACACCAAGCTTGCCAATTGGAAAACGACAAATCTCATGTCCAAGGGGTTTGCTGAGTATATTAGTGAACTTCAAGATGGGACATAGGCTGTTTTGATAATACCAGCTTGCATTCCTTCGCGAACAATGTGACAGTTAATCTCGATGTGTTTGGTACACTCACGAACTACATGATTTGCAGCTATGTAAACTGCAACTTGATTATAACAATAGAAACTCCCTGGTCAACTCTTAAGTCATCTAGTAAATATTTCATCCACTGAATTCACATGTGATGGAGGCCATGGCACGATACTCCACTTCAGCTGAGGATCGAGAAACAGTGGATTGGTTCTTAGTGATCCAGAAGTGCTCTTCCAAGAAAGATGCAATAACTTGTAGCATATCTTCACGTAATTGGACAAACTTGTTGCAGTAAAAACAATCGGAAACACTATTAACAAGTTAGACAAGGCAATTTTGGGAGATGCAGAGAAGTGGATTTCGAGGCAGGAGGAGATTCTCTGGTCCGAGCAGTGGTTCTTGGGTCGCCGAAGGTGGATCTTTATGAAACAGATTTTGGATGGGGGGGGCCTAAAAGGATAGAGGAGATTGGAATTGATGGTGTGAAAGGCATTTCACTCAATGAGAGTAGAGACGTGTTGGGTGCAGGGTTGGTCATGAGTTTTTTGGTGCTCGGGGTCAAAATGTGCATTTTTTTGATATACCATATATTAAAAAGAAATTTAAAGAGGGCTGAAACCTAGTCAAAGCTGGGGGGTTAGACCCTTATGCCCATATTATATTACTTAAAGAGAACATACAACGGGGAACATAGTATTTAAACCCTGACGACGAAAAGCAAAATCATATACAACTAGTCCAAGTAGTCAACATGGCCACCACATATTGAATCCAAAAAGTTGACGCCCCATTCACTGGATATAATCTACAGAAAATAACAAGATTACTACTAATAAAATCTAACACTGAGTAAAAAGAATCATCTAAAAAGATGAACATATGCATCAATTTTATTACAGAAGCTATTCATTCGCTATACTTTGAAGAAGATAAGGAATACCTGATCATTATATATGATGACCATTCTAAGTGCAAATTTAGAAGTGATATGCTCCAAGTATGATATTGGACAGAAAAGAGCGGCAGCTTCAACCAGTTCTGCTATATCCGGCTAGGTGAGAGCAGCTAAAGGCATGATTGTTCCCTAATAACGTGGATAAATTGAGTAAACACCATAGCAGCAAGGGAAGGAGATATGAAGAGGATGAAGAGGTGTAAGACCCGTGAATGTCCAACAACAAAGACTTTGGAGCTTGTTGTCGAATATATGCAGCACATATTTCTGACAATACAAATAGAGCCAATTCCTGCGAACTCCAATCCCAATAATCCTACAATAAAGCATAAACCTTATTCTCTTCTGATAAACATATGTGTCCATGACTTCAACGTGTTCCACACACATTCCCTACCCATACAACGAAACCTTCATCTGCAAGGACGAATCCCAGCGATTCTGCTGGAGAATTTAAGAATCATGCATCACCTAGTTAAGATCAAGAAAATCCAGTTACCAAGTTCAATTGAGTTTGAAGCATATTAGAGCCTAATTTAACATGTATCGCATGGATGTTCATCACTTTACCCACTAGTTAGTTTCAAGAAAAGGAAATTTCAACAGAACCTGAAAACTTCAGATGAGGGAGCACCAAATAGTGAGCTATACGTTCAAATTTTGAAATAATAAACTTATTGGGACCAATATGTTGAAAAAATTGGAAGGAGCTATAAAAGTTAGGCTTTTCACTAACCAAGTGTCCAGAGAATCAATATTTTACTCGCAGATCAGCCCCCACCAAAGCAATCTCATTAGCCCGTTCACGTCTCAAACCAAACAGAAATTGCACTAACAAACACGACATAGTCCTTCATATCTCAAACCCATTAAGTACCCATCTTTCGTCTGAATCTGGAAAACAAGCAGCAGTGAATGAAACAATCTGGGTATCTCAAAGTTACTCACTTTAATCACAAATTTAACAATTAAACATATAAATGGGCAAGTTTTGGTGAAATATTAGTATAGTACTCACCGTGTGCCCGGACCAAGAGTATCGAGAAGGCTTAATGAGCTGCGCATAGAGGGAATGCAGCGGTGAACGATGCCACCGATTCTGTAAAATTCAGTCGAGTTTTGGGCGATTTCTGCGGCAATTTCGGAGGTCAAGAGGCCGATAAGGAAAGCTGCGACGGAAGGGCACTGGTCTGAAAGAAAGACTCTGGTCCACGCTATCGCGATTCGCTAAGGTAGAAGTGCCCCATAACAATTTGGGTACCGGACAGGTGCACTGTTTGCACTGGGCGGCCACAGTGAGAAATTCAAAGAACCTCATGAACTCAAGGCGCCCTTGAAGGCCTTCCATGCATCCAAGCGCTCTGAGAATGCAAAGCTCATCAATTGAGTTTAACATAAAACCCATACCCCAAGAATTCACCTCACAAACTTGCAAGCGAATTCCACTAAGCAACTGATCAACTGTAAACGTTTTTGCTTCATGTCGGAGCAGACGGCACACGATCAGACATACAGAACTTTCAAATGAACGGTAAGTGAACACCTCCATGTCGGCTCGAGGGCAGGAAAACGTTTTTCTTCCCGCTCTAATCCACTTCTTACTTACCACACTTCTGCAGTCTTGCAATCTTTCATATTTGTCTCGGCCGAAATTTCAAGAATAGATCATGGAATCACTGAGATGTGATCCCGAGCTCAAGATATAAACACGTCCTCTCATGCTTCCATGCAGCACTGAGACATTTGATCCGCTGTTGAAGCTCAACAACAAACAGTGTGTATCACATACGCGGCTATCCCACTACACTGCACGTTCAAAACCCAATTTAGAGCTCTTTCTAGTGATATGAATGCAAGTAACAAGGTACGAAAAATAAAACACAGCAACAAAGCAAGCAATATGATGAGAAAATCGACGTTCAATACAATAAACCAGAGAAAAACAAAATAAGACGTATGATTAAAACCTGCAGAGCAATCTGAATCTCGTTCATAAATATCAGTCATCGTGACAATATACTTGTCACATGTACAGAAATGAGTCACCTGTAAAGAAAAAGCTGTATGGTTATTGGCTTGGCTTCCTTCTTCATCCCATCTGTTTCTTCTTTGAATCGGTACTGCATATCCATGAAACTAAACTGAGAAGCAAAACAGAAACGAAAAAAATTTGAAGCCATATTATAGTTTGAAAATTAAAAAGAATTGTAAAGGTTGTGCATATAATAATTGTATTGAATGAAGTAACAAACTGTCATCTGCCCGGTTACTTGGTAGCTACAATAGTACTGATCTAGAGAACTAAATTGTCATAGTACGTAGTACGTAGGGAGAGTTAGATGGGAATTTATTAGAAAAGGTTGAAAAATAGACGTAAAATTAAAGACAGGTTTTGAAGATTGTTGTGAATCTCAACACCATACTTCCAAAAAGTGCTAGATGACACACTATTTATACAAAATGTGCTAGATCATTCACTTAGGTGAAGGAAGTTGATGTTCCACCATAAAACCAATTGGCAATATGAGGATTGAGGAGGTGCCCAACTTTCTTATAAGCTCATCCAAAGTTCCTCCTTCCATCAATTCAAGATTCGTTCTCAACATAAGTTGATTGACTTCTTCCATCAATTCAAGATTCGTTCTCAACATAAGTTGATTGACTTAGGTATGTTTTTTTGGTCGAAATTGTTAATGTAAGTAAGATGATAAGGAAGAACATGAATGTGCACAAGCATGTAATTATAAAAAGATAAAGACTTCATTATTGAATAAAAGGAAATTAAGAAAAAAAGTGAAGTTAGCGGGATCAGTAGGTAATGGAATGCATACCATTCGCTGTGGAACTAGTGTTGCTCAATCAGAGATCACAAGAGTTCTAAGCGCGGACGAAAGCTTCGATCCGCATGGGATCACCTGAAAAGAAAAATAAAATGCAGGTAATGAATGTCGACCGAAAGCAAAAGGAATGATGAATGAAGAAAGGAGGTTGGCATTTGAAGGGATGTGAGGTTGATTATTCCTTTTGGGAGGAGAGCAATCACTATTTCTGATCTCTTGAAGGGATGCGAGGTTGATTATTCCTTTTGGCAGTGATACCATATCATGTCAATATAAAACTGGTTAGGGCGGAAAGGGATCCTCTCCCTTCCACCAAATCCACTAATCTAGATCCTTGAAATTTGATCCAATAGCTAAAAACATGAGTCATTTTAAATGTTATAATAACTTTAGCCGTTAAATCAAATTTCAAGGGCCCGGATTGGTGGATTTGGTGGAAGGGATCCGGAGATCCCTTTCCGGTTAGGGCTGTGTATGTTGAAATTGAGCATCTTTGATTCATGAAATTGATTATTTGTTGTGATTGTGGAATTGTTGGAAAACAATGTGGTATATGTGAAAGATAAAATTATAATTCTAGCTGTTATATTTATTAAGGTCATCTTCAACCGAAGGGTCCAAAATGCCGAAAAACGTCCGAAAACCGTCTCCAACTGAGGGCTCGTTGGCCCCATGAAATCTGAAAGGGCCAAATGACCAACCGGCTGGCCACTTTTAGCCAGCCTGCTGGCTAGCCCAATTTTTTATTTTTTTTTTTGTTCTTTTCCATTGGCCCAGCCATTTTTCTTTTACTCTTTTCCATTACCCAGCCCACTTTAGTGTTTAGGACTTAATTTTTTTTTCATGATCCCAGGCCACTTTTTGTTTTTATGCCCAGCAGCCTTTTTTTTGTTTTTTAATTTCTAATTTTTTTCCTATACCATTTCTCATATAATTTTCACTATTTCATACTATCTTACCTCATTTTATTTCAATTATTCACGGTCCATACTATAGCCATTTGGCCCTTGGTTGGAGACGGTTTCTTGTGACAGGGCTAAAACGATCCCTATGACCCTTTGGCCCTCGGTTGGAGATAGTAAGAATATGACTCTGCACTGTTCATTAAAATATTAATTTATTGAAGGACCAGAGAGCTAAAACGAACACTTTGGCTAGTCTTCAGTTAGAGATGGCCTAAGTAGTCTGAAATCTAGTGAATCATGCTCATAAAGTTTCATTGAGTGATTATGGAACTCTATGTTTTCTGCTAGAAGTACAATGAGAAATGTCGGAGTTTAACAAGATTGAACTACGAATGGCTTGATCCCATCAACAATTTAACACATAAATTAGATGCAACCATGTAATCAGAGGAAAGAATACTACGTTGTTGAACCGTTGGTTTGTTTTTTGTCATCTCTTGGTGGTGTGAGGCATGATTGTTCAGCAAGTACAAAGATACGTGCTACTTGGGATCGGAGCGTGACAATTACCCATCACATCAAGCAAAATTTAATTTAAATGGATGATCTCTCTAGCATTATTATGACTTGTAATCCGTGCTCAATCCTTCACATTCTCTGTTAGAAGAGTAGGACACTTGCCACATTGTATTGTTTTAAGTTTTTGCTGTAGAGAAAATTGGATCAATCTTCACTCAGAATAACGGTACGGTTTCTAAATAACCGGTGAGAAAAAGTAAGTTAATAAATATAATGTTACCAAAACCACCCAATTATGCTAATAAAATAAAACTACTAAAACATCCTTTTATATGGTCTAATATTCTAATAGATGATGTTGAGTTTCTACCTGTACATTCGGATTTGAAACTCTCACCTCTCCTAAACTATTGTAAAAAGTTTCGAACTATTATTCCTCTTATCAGCGGAATTAGCACGCGAGGAACTACAAGAATGTGCGCCCTTGGCGTGCTCATTCCGCTAAACAAATTGACAAGAATTACGCAATTTGGCACTCAACTGCAGCAGTAGTAAACTACATAAGCAAAATTGCTAAAAGTGAAAAGACATGTACCGCAAAGGAAATTTACTCCAAACTGGACTCATATAACCTGATAAATTAAGACCAATATAACCTTCTGAATGCAATGATGCTAAAACAACAAACAATAAATTGGGAAATTGCCGGAGTACCCTACCTGCAGGCATCCATCGTTGAATCTTCTACTTGAATGAGTACCATTCTTGTTTGATCAGAAGAACAAAAACATGACAAATAACCCCAAAGGCATCATCCAAAAGGCATTTAATTTTATCAAAGTGTCTACTGCCGGCGATATAAAAGTCCCTTTAAAGAACTAGCCATTTGTGTATGTATGTACACAGCCCCCAACCAGTTTGATATTTGATGACACTTGCGGTTATCCAGACTATCTTATCGTCCCGATCTGAAGACACTCATCCAAGTCACAGACGGGCACATTGCATAATTGTCAAAATTCTGAACATACACTCATGCACTCAATAATAACTTTATTTAGAATTCTGTTAAATGTAGTTCACGGCAACCAAGCATGTCGACTCTCACACAACTGGATGTAGCCATCCAGCAACCAATTCTGCATCAAGAATCGAGTATCGTATAAAGTTAGATATGTATCTTGCCAAAAGAAAGCACAATTACAATTAAAAAATCCAGAGTAAAATTAACCAGCGGCAGGAACTAACAAAGAGAGACTGAAATGACGATCGGTGTTCCAAAACAAGAGAAATTGGATAATACAAGATTCTGATTTCAGCCCCATGTTCAGTATTTAAGTTGTAAATGAAACAAAAAAGAAAAACATTAAAACATACTTCCTACATCATTTAAGGGAAATTTTGATGGAAAACAGTCTTCTACCATCATTAAAAACATTCAAAGTACAGAAATCACACCTTGCAAACCACCGGAGCATTCCACTTTCCATTTGAAAAACCAGCATGAGAGCTGCGGATGTGTTCTTGATGAAAAAAGAATATCCTGCACATTTAGGCAAAGCTGAAGCATACGGCATTGTTTTACTGAAAAAGGACACTGGTCTACCAGCCTCATGAAGGGAAACTCATGAATGTGCAACTCTAATGACCTCCAACCAAACAAGTTAAACGTTCAGTTTGACTAAGTTCACGGTCTAGTTTACCACTGCCCATAAGTTACAGTACGATATGGTATGAGCGTGCGCCTATCATAAACATTAGCATCGCTTCACTGACACATCATCCTGTTCTATGCAAAACTTAGTATGTGTTATTTGACAACTTAACCCTTCACATTAGAGGTCTGCCCTAAATGGACAAACACATTTATGGACAACAGTAGTAGTAAATAACCAAATTCCAAACTGCATAAACTTACATTGGGACATTGAAACGGCACTGTTCACCTTATGTGCAGATCAGACAGAAAGTCTGACAACCTGAAAACATCACAGATTTAGTATGAAAAGGAAAATAAATGGAGGAAATGATCAAAGGTACAGGGTAAAACCTAATATTTGTAGCTATCACCGTCTGACCATCTTCATTTCCAATATGACGCAGTGCTACTTCCTCTAAACGGCCATCTCGGTATGCATGCTGCAATCAGACCAACAGACAAGTTCATTACCCAATTATTGTAGAAAAAAAAGGATCTAAACAAGCACAGTAAACAATAGCGCATGCAAACGAGATACGTATACAAAATGTAAGAGCATAACAGTAAACACCACAACAGACTATGTACCGGCAGAGAAAGTAAAAAGCAGAATCAAACATATCTTGAGATGGAAGTGTACATGACAGTAGAAAGACCTAAAATAAGAGCCATTGCAGATAAAATTCGAAGAGGAAGACAGAATGCATGACATAATAGACTTTGTTTGCCTGTAGCAATTGTTATGTGCACCTAAATTTATAGACAACACACTCCAAAATAGAGCAAAATGGTAATTGGTCAGATAAGCTTACAACCAAAATATTATAGCACGAATGGAAATCAAATCAAACCCACAGAACAGTTTCTTTTTTCCTTTTCCCTTTTTTTCAGTTAAACTAGCCTTTAAATTTTAAGTAACTTTTGTATCATTAGCATAAATATCACATCGTACCAATGAAGACTATTCGAGATTCACAAAAAATAACCCCATTAGTAGAGGGTAAATCTATACATCAATCATAAATAGGAGTTGTTAAATACAAACTACAATCAAAACACAGCAACTCCGAAACCAAGTAGAAAACTTCAGATGATACAACCGGCTAAATCTAGTAGCTCAAGGCCATAAATCTATCTCGTCTTCACTAGAGTCACTTGTATCCAAACCCATATGCATTAATAACTCCCTCTCCCATGGGTTTAAATCTTCATTTTCTAAATCTTCAAACATATAATCATCCAATTCTTCTAAGTGCTCGAACATATGAATTATGACATCCATAGGCACAATATCATATCGCCGTGGAGGAGGCCTTCTCGGAGGAGGCCTTCTTGGAGGTGGCCTGTGAAATTTCCATACATATGAGCCTGGCTTGACCGTATGCTGGAATACAACAAACATTCCATCCATTAAAGGTGTCACAAAGCTAATCCTCTCCGAGAAAGTAAAATGAAAAACAAAGGCACATGATTCTAAGGCTAACATTCATGAGAATCTAGTTTGATGCATCTCCTAAAATATAACCAAATACAACTAATACATCAATAAAAGGTTTAGATATGATAGACTAAATCACAAAACGGGAGGGAGGGAAGGAGGGAAGGAGGGAAAGAAACTGTTATAAACCCATTGAAGTGGCAAAATCATTTGCGATGATTAGAAAAAGAACATGTTATAAACTAAAACTGTTTCGCAAACATTCCACAATCTGGTATCACAAGAATGATACTAAACCAGAGACGAGAAACTACTACTATACCAGAGACGAGAAACTATCCAAATTTAAGGCCCCAGAAGTATAATAGAAGCACTAAAAAGAAACAAACAAAGATAATGATGAACCCGTTGCCGAGGTGGCAAAGTCCTCATCACAAATACTAATTTTAGATTGAAGCAATCTGTTATCCAATGCTGCCAATCCTATAATGCAGATACCACTGCAAGCCCTTGGGAAAACTAAAGATGTCTAAAGAGATTATTCAACAACTAGTAATCTATTGATTCTAAATGTTATTAGTTATTGTTGCACGTGCATAAGCATGGGAATAAATCATACAATTCACTTGTACAAAGACTGCAAAGGTCTAAATAACCAAATCTTTAAGCGTAAATTTATTAAAAAAATTAATATGAAATAATGCCTTATCCCCACCTAGCACCCACTTGAACAAGTACATACTTAAACTGCAGCGAACAGCCCGTAATTTGGGTTGGTGACATGGAGATAATGTTTTCATCAAGAAAACTAAGTTTTTTCCTTTTTTTTTATTTTAAAGAAACAAAAGAATTTTATATATAAAAGAGAAAATTTACATAAGTTGAAAGAGTTCCACCTAGAACAGGCAGTAACTAGCAAGAACCTTTAAGGTAGGGCTAATTACACAATGGTAAAGCTAAATATGTGGTGGAACATAGAATTTAAAATCCCAAGTATATTATAACTCAAGATCCTCATGTACATTACAAATTCCACCCAAACACACCAAAATAAGGCATCCGCCCAGCAATCAATCAGAACAACAATTGAAGAGAAAAAAACAAAGCAAGTTTTAGAACAAAAATAAAATTCAAGGGGCTAAGCCAAATCTATCACAAAATATACCACATGACTCCACAAACACAAGGAAAAATAATAGAGGTACAGTGTTTAGGTTTTTGTGTTTGAGGCTCAAGACATGGGACATTAACAGTTTCAACAAGTAGACTAACCATCATATATATATATATCCAAGTCATCATTAGATTATTGACATGGTTAATTGCACTCAACATGACAGAAAAAACAATGCAGTGATTATTGCAGCAGGAAAATTCCATGTAGGATTTCTGTTACCTTATAAAAACAACTAGTTCCAAATGGGCAGTTCCCATTTCCAAAATCAAAGTGTTTGCAATCAATTGACCTGCAATACAAAATAATTGTAATTACAGTACAAACACAAAAAATAAAGGGGAGAAGGGAGGGAGGGAGGGAGGGAGGGAGGGAGAGAGAGAGAGAGAGAGAGAGAGAGAGAGAGAGAGAGAGAGAGAGAGAGAGAGAGAGAGAGAGAGAGAGAGAGATCTTTGGATCCCACTTTTAAGGCCTTTCCAACTTCAAATCACAATAGGAATAGAAAACTGATATTTCTGTCCTCCAAATTGAGTAGCTTCTTTATAACAAAGAATGAACCATAACAGTTCCTTTCTGAGCTAAGAATAGTAAAATATATCCAAGGCAGAAGACAAAGCACTGCTAATTGAATCCCAGCTTATAAGATACTTGCGCAGAATATTACCTGAGCCTTGCCTTGTAGCTTTCAACAATTTCCTGTTTCTCTTCTTTTGAGTTATACCAAATGACACTTGGAATGACAAAGTACGACAGCTTCCTACATATTGGGCAAGCTCTCAATGCGCTATTGACATCCATGCCAGAAGTTGGGGAACTGCTGCGCCAATTTCTAATACAAGATATGCAAAAAGGATGATCACATTCTGAGAGTATTCCAAACTTCCGCTCAGCAACTGTGGGCTTTGACAAAACACGTTCTAGGCAAACACTGCATTCTATTTCTTGACTACGTTTCAAAGCCTCAAGTTGCTTCTGCTTTTCCTCACATGTCTTCATATGCTCCTCCCTTTCCAAAGGTCTGTAAGGATGCAAGCAATGTTTTCCACAGCTGGGGCATAAATCTCCATGAATATGAGGACATTTTTCTCCACGAGGACAACTACCAGCTGCAGCAAATGAACAAATAGCACGATCTTCTGGTCTAGTACTCCAAGTCTCCCCAACATTAACTTCGTCATTTTCATAGTCATCCTCCAGAGAACCATTCCAGGCAGGTTTAGAGGGAGGTAAGAAAGGGATACTTGAAGCAGAGAGTTCTGAAAGAGAGAGGGGTGCAAGAGAAACTCTGCTTGCTAAGGTTCTCACAGGAAGTGCCAGAGATGCAGAATCAACAGCAAGGGATGGCTGAGAATTTGTTGATGAAGATGAGCCTGAAGACTGAGCCCGAGAAGCTTTGACATGTTCATATCTGCATCGACTACCAAATGCACAAGCTCCTTTCTGATAAAAGGTACATATCTGTTATGAAGGACCAGAAAGAAAAGTTAATAAGGTACCAATTGTTGATCATTATTGCTTAATGCAAGTGCAATTAAAGTAGAATAAATAGTTTACATTATTTGGTGAAGCCTTCCAATCATGTGAAAACTCACAATGCTCCCCTTTCAAACAGGCGCCATGTGCAAAAAACTTGCAGAGAACCCTGAGGTAATCAGAAATGACAATACAAAGTAGTTCAATAACCTTAACCAAGCATAATCAATAAATAAGCCATCGAATCCTCTTTGTAATATGACTACTATCGGATAAGAATATTAGCTAAACTGCTGTTGCAGATAAAATTTCACAACATCAATCATCTCTAGTACTACCTTACTCTCCGTGTAAGGTTTAAAAAACATGCGAAGAGCCGCTTCAACGATATGGATTAAAAAAATAAATAAAAAAGCATGAATTTTCATTACATATCTTCAAAATATTCAGATTACATAATCATACACTGACTCAAAACAAAAGATTTGAAATTAACGTTGAAAATTCAAAAATATTGATTCACAGAGGACTCCTAACCCACATTACCCAGTAAATTAATCAAAGGGCAATCAACCCATTCTACCACTACGGCAACAACTCCTTTTAATTTCCTCCATTTTCCCAGCAACCAAACAATTAAAAAATATATTATAAATTAAATTAAAAACAGCTATTCCACGAATCCTAAGAGACACAAAAGATAACAAATTCAACATGGCAAATCACAACATCTAAAAATTGGATGGTTCAACAAACTCAATATCCAAATTCGTTCCTTGCATATAAAAAACAGAAAAAGAACCCACCTTTTGGACATGGCGATCAAGAAATCGAGAGTTAAAGAAAAAGGGTTTTTTCTGTGCAACAAAAATTGGAAACCCTAAAAAGCTTCGGAACCAATAGAATGAGGAAGAAACAAAATTGGGAGCGACGAACCACCGCGCCTTATATCATTCAATCATCCCCAGACTCTGAAAAGAAATGGAGAGAGAGAGAGAGAGAGAGAGAGAGAGAGAGAGAGAGGGGTCAAAATTGTGAGTACCTAGGGTTTTTTCGGCGGTCGGTGTACGATACGAAATGCCATTGGTTTTGACGTGAAATTACGGAAATGCCCCTGTGAACGGAAAAGTGGATTGAGTCGCGGACAAAACGGTGGGTTGTAAGAAAGGAGATATCCCTCGTCTAAATATAATGTTAATTACATTTTGCCTCCTAAGTTTTAGTGTTCGTTCCACCTTAATCCTCAAATTTTCGCTTATTTTTAATAAAGGAGATATCCCACCACACGTTGATGGTGGATTAATCCTCTTCACCATACAACTTGATACAGACTACCTTGATACCTTATTATACTTTAACTTGTTTTATTCATTGGAACTCCACTAAACTTTTAAAATTTATAAAATAAGAATAACATCAGTTATAAAAATTGACACGAACCAATAGTGAGCACCATAGAATTTGGCTTTTTTATTTTTTGGAAGAATGGAACACATTGTCGCACATGTGAGTAATGAAACTCATATTCAAACTATCACAACTTCTATCAAAATATGGCTAGCAGTTACATCTGACCGTGTTTGGGCCCAAAATAATAGTTTGGGCCGAGTATAGAATCATTCTCGGCCCGGAAGGCCTTGCGACAAGAATGTCATGGATCGTTCAGTACGTAGGCCTCCAAACCTAGGTCGGTTAGGTCATAACGCAAGAAGTCGAGTCCTAGTGCAATGAGGAGTCTCGGCAGGACTAATAACCCGGAAGCGAATCCGGCTCGGTTAAGGACTAGGTTCACAATCCTAGTAAGAATAGGACTGGTCGAGTTGGTGTTGATCAGGAGGAGAAGACCTAGTCCGAGTAGGGTTTTAACTCGGATTCAAAGAGATCCAGTGCTATAAATAGGGGAGGCTGTGCATCATTCAAGCCCCCTGCAAATCAATACAAAACTGCCCTGCGCAAACTCTCAACAACTTGAGATTTTTTCCTTCTTTTTCGCTGACACATCTTCTGTTGGCATCAACAGCACTGCGGCGAGAACGGTTGGTTACCTATCCAAGTCTCGGTCGAGGAGGATTTCCGGGTCCTTATTGATTGAGGTCATCTCATTGGCCTTCTCGGCGAAGTGAGGTGTTACGGTATATCGAGCTCGGCGCATTGCACGCCGAGTTGTTTTATGATTGGATACTCCCAAGTAGGATTTAGAGTTCGGCATTCGGACGGCCGAACCACATTCACCATCAAGACTTATATCTGTTTTGAGTATTTGTGCCCTTACACTTTGGTGTCGATTCGGCGAGAGTTTACTCTGACGAATAACATCACTGTGACCGAATCCGACGACGACGATTCGTGAACTTCGTAAAGAATAGTAACCTTGTCTTCAGGTTCGAGAACCCAAGAGGCCGAGACACGTTCCTTCCTCGGTCGCAATCGCAAGACGTAGAAGTCAGCCGCGCACCCAACGCAACATCAATAAATTTACTCCTCGGCCGAGCTCGGCCGACGAGTTGGCACGCCCCGCATTCATCGAAGGACGTAGTTAGCTTATAGATTACTAGGCCTGCGCGTCACGTAGGCTTGGTAGTTTCTGGGGTCAACAGACCGAAATGAAATCGAAAAACCACCCAAATTGAGAGACATGTAAAATAAATTGTTCTTTTTTTTATATACCGTTTGTTGATTTTAAATTTAGTTACTTGCTTTCAGTCAGTATAGTAACAATAACCAATTTGGTGGGTTTATACCATTTTTAGCATAAATATCTGATCCACCCTGATACCATATTGTACTATGACTTATTTTCTGTTCTTTTTTATTCCTCAGATGTCCTACTAAAATTTTATAAAAGAAGGACAATATGTTAGTTACAATAGCTGACACCAACTACTGACGAGTGCTATTTAATTTAGAGATGGAATGTCTGCCCCTTCATTTTCATACTTTTTTCATTCTCTCATGTTTTGTGTGATTACGGTTAAGTCATGTCAACATTTTATATTTCTATTACTTTTTGTTTTATTATTTTTATAAAAAAATTAATATAAAATATTAATGTGGCTTAACCATGACCACACAAACAGGAAGGGATGAGAAGAGTATGGAAATGAGAGGGTAGACAATCCACCTCCATTTAATTTAGCTAGTCTTTTTAGTAGAATGGACCGAGTGTTATTCACGTGAGTAATGAAACTCCTTTTCAAATTACCACAATATTACGGATAACGTGTTTCATGAATTAACATAAACTTATCATTCATGATAGGCACATTCTGAAACTATATTGTGCTCAACATATTTTCTGTTCTTTTTTATTCGTCAAAACTCCTAAACTTTTAAAATTTTATAAAATAGGGACAACAAATACGTTAGTTACAAAAGTTGACACGAATTTGTGGTGAGTACTCTTTAATTTAGCTGATTTTTTTGTTGGGTTGAATGGACCATAATGCCATTCGTGTGAATAGTGACTCTCCCCTAAAAAAATATAGCTATCAGTTACGTGACTAAGGAGATAAAGAATATGAGGTTAGAGTTTTAGGGATCACGTGTTTTATGAACTAATAAACAAACAACAACAACAAAGTTCTATCCATTAAGCCGAGCGCTTATATAAATTTTAGAATGTGCTCAATTTTGTTCCAAATCTTCCGTTAGGTGGGGTCGCTTGTGTACATTATAAAATTAAAGTTGTTTAATTTTTAATATTTATTTGAAAAATCAATCCATCCAAATGAATGGAGCAAATGGACGGTGCGACTACCAAAGTAACATATAGAATGGCTAAACAATTTTCGATTTGAATAAACTTTTATAGAGATAATCAATAAATGAAGATTTAAAAATTGATTAGTTTTGATAATAAAATTTTGGCAAAAGATTGTTTACTACCCTTATGTTTCGTGGTTTTCAACATTTAGTACATCAAGTTTTTTTCGTCCCAGAGTTATACCTAAAGTGTAAATTTTGGGACAGTCTCATACATCCGTTAGTCAAATTGTTAAGACGTGGTGCCCATGTGGACAATGACTGGACGCCACGTGTCATCCACGTGGAGATTTAAAAAAAATAATAAATAAATAAATTTAAAAAAAAAAACGTTTTTTTTTTTCTTCATCCTCCTTCCTTTTCCTTCTTCTTCTTCTTCCTTCTTCTTCCTCTGAATCTGGGTAGCAGATTCGTTTTTTTTTTTTTTTTCTTCTTCTTTCTTTCTTCTTCCTCCTTCCTTCTCCTTCTTCCGAATCTGCCCTTTTTTTTTCTACTTCCTCTTTCTTCTTCTTCCTTCTTCTTCCTTCTCCTTCTTCTTCTTCTTCTTCTTCTTCTTCGAATCTGCCCAGTTTTTTTTTTCTTCTTCTTCCTCCTTCCTTCTCATTCTTCTTCTTCTTCCTTCTTCTTCCTCCTTCTTCTTCTTCTTCGAATCTGCCCAGTTTTTTTTTTTTTTCTCTTCCTCCTTCTTCCTCCTTCCTTCTCCTTCTTCTTCTTATTCTTCCTTCTTCTTCCTCCTTCTTCCTTCTCCTTCTTCTTCTTCTTCTTCTTCCGAATCTGCCCAGATTCGGTTTTTTTTTTCTTCCTCCTTCCTTCTTCTTCCTCCTTCTTCCTTCTTCTTCTTCTTCTTCTTCGAATCTGCCCAGTTTTTTTCCTTTTTTTTTCCTTCTTCCTCCTTCCTTCTCCTTCTTCTTCTTCTTCTTCCTTCTTCTTCCTCCTTCTTCCTTCTCCTTCTTCTTCTTTTTCTTCTTCCGAATCTGCCCAGATTTGGTTTTTTTTTATAATTTTATAATATATATATATATTATTTTATAACTTTTTTTTTAAATTTCCACGTGGATGACACGTGGCGCCCCAGTCATTGGCCACATGGGCACCACGCCACAGTTAACGGCAGACTTAACAGTTTGACTAATGGATATATGAGATTGTCCCAAAATTTACATTTTAGGTATGACTCTGGGACGAAAAAAAATTGATGTACTAAATGTTGAAAACCACGAAACATGAGGGTAGTAAACAGTCTTTTGCCCATAAAATTTATACTGTAAATCGTTGTTCTAAAATTCCCTGCTTAGCGCCACCTAGGATTAATGTCTAGGCATTTGAAAATTAAGAAAGGGTGCCTAGACCTACTGAGAGCCCCACCTAGACATCTGCCTAGCTCGCCTAGACCCGCCTAGGCACCAGCCTAGGTCACGACACACTTAGCCAAAAAATAGATAACTTTCATTTTGCATTTTAATTTTTTTCAATAAATTGTAAGAGACTTATTAAATACTTAAATGAACACAAATTATATGCTTATTTTCATGTTTTCATTATGTTCGAATACTTCATAATATATATATGTCATTCTATTTTGTAGTTTATAATGAAATTATATATATTTTAAGTATAACCAGACACTTATTTACACGAAATATAATAAATTTACTTAAATCTGCCTAGTCCATCTAAGCACCCGCCTAAGCCCCGCCTAGCTACCTAGGCACTAGGCCCCAACTCACCGCATAATTAGCGCCTAACGTCTTTTAAAACCTGCTGTAAATATACGTTATTGGTAAAGAGTGAAATAATGTGCATTTCTCACATGAAGCGTTGCAAGTATTACTATCCTAATATCTTTGTCATTTGGATACCTTCTTTATCTCTTTGTCATTTGGATACTTTCTCTATCTCCATACATCCTCTAGGGTGGACAGGAAAAAGGAAAGTGTCCATCTTATGGTTTACATGATTGGTCAATGGCCAATTATCCGAGCTTTCTCCCGCCACATAGGATAAGGAAAATCTCAAATTAAAGAACCACACAAAGATAACAAACAATTTAAAGAACCACACCCCCTCAATCCAATCCCATGGCTACCATGTTCTCACCCTCAACCTTCTCCTCCACCACCACCAACAACATCACATCTCCAAAACCACCTCAAACTCCCCTACCGCCCAAATCCCACATCCCCATCCCGCCCTCTAAACCACTCATAACTACCTTAACCACCACACTAACTGTCACCGCCGCTGCAGCTGCCATCCTAACTGCCTCTCCACCCTCGTTAGCAGACTCCACAGCAGAAACAACTTACCAAATCTTCTACGGCACTGTTGCCAGCGCGGCCAACTATGGCGGCTACGGTGGCAACTCCGACAAGAAAGCCTCCGCCGAGTATGTCTATGACGTGCCAGATGGATGGAAAGAGCGTTTGGTCTCAAAAGTCGAAAAGGGTACGTACATATATGCTCACTACATCTGCAACATATGTGTCACATGCTAATTACGTTGTGGCGCTTAATATAGACATATTTATATTGTCAAACTGTAAATCCGAACTCAATATTTAGTGTATCTTTCTCGATGAACAGGTACAAATGAGACTGATAGCGAATTTTACAACCCGAAGAAGAAGTCAGAAAAAGAGTACTTGACATTCCTTTCCGGGTTTAATCAACTAGCACCGAAGGATGCGGTGCTGAACAATTTGGCTCTGTCAGATGTGAACTTGCAGGACTTGCTAGCAAGCGTGGATAATGTGACATCGGAGGAGAGGAATGACAAGAAGAGACAGGTTTACTATGTGTATGAGATCGATGGAGTTGCTGCTCACAGTTTGATTTCAGTGACTTGTGCTCGGAACAAGCTGTATGCACATTTTGTCAATGCGCCAATGACAGAGTGGAACCGTGACCATGACTTGTTGCAGCATGTTCATGAGTCTTTCAAGACTACTGGTTCTTTTTAGCTTATTGCATTTGATGACTTTTGACAATGTGGTTCTGCCGTGCACATTTGAGAAATATATACTGATTTTGACTATGAAATAAAACGCCTTTTGATCATTCCTTTCCATACAGGCCTTCCCATCTGCTTATTCTTTCAATTTAATTTCCATAAGCACATCAAAATTAGTGAATTTATAGCTTCTTCTGCGCGTGAAGAAGTTTCATACTATTTGTTTGGATTGAAACTTGATTTTTGGCCCAAGGATGGAGTCGGCCCAAAAGGAGGCCTGGAGGAATAGAAGATCAAAGCCCAGCCGAAACTTGGGAAGGCAGGAAATGGCCTTTTCTGACTTGATACAATTCACAAAGGCCACTTGCCTACCTACCCAAGGACCAAGTGGTGTAGACTAATCAGACTGCACAGCCCATAAAGTACTTTATGGTGGCATTACATGTAATAAAGCTGATGAGTCATCACCCTCAGACCACATTCGGGCAAAGCTGTCGCTACAGGAGCCAAACCGAGTAGTCTATAAAAGGAGGAAGAGAAGACAGGAATAAAGACACTCAAACAAACAAACAAAAGCACAAACTCTGCTCAAAAAGCCAGATTTGCCTTTCAAAACGAAGCTGTAGTCAGCCCAAGCTTTCATCCCCCTCGGGATAATCTTTTCTCCTAAACTTTGTAATAGCTCTGCTACCCTGCTCTAACTTGTTGTAGTATCGATTCACCCTTTTGTATTCTCCTCTCCCCTCTCCACCTTTAAGCTTTTAGACCTTTGACAGAACCACAAAGATAGGGACCTGCAAGACGATCAGCCTTAATTGATAAGGTTTAATCTTGCCCGACCTGCTTTGCTCTGTCTTTGTCTTCTCTTTCTTTAAAGTCTAGCAATATGTTGTATATTTTTAGTTATATGCAAGTTTGTTTCTAGCAAAATCACTATGACAAAGCTTTCTCAATACTTGGATCCGATTTAAATATATCTTCAATGCTTAAATCAGATCCAAGGCCTAAGCCCGCATGCATGTAAATCTGATTAGTTTAAAAGTCCTTGGCCTCAAGGCATAAAAAAGAACTTTATGTGGACTTAACCCATCCACGACAATCCTTGATAAACGAGAAGTCCGAAGTTACTTGGGGCGCAAGTAATCGACCTACCTTCTAGTTTTCTTTCTATTATATCATGATTATCATAGAACGCTTAAGCATGGGATGAACTCTAATGGAAAGCCTCAAGGCCTACACCTAAGGCCTCACAAAGGCATCCATTTGGATTCATCCTATTCAGCGATCTCAAGAGTCTAAGCATAAGAATGAACTCTGATGGGAAGCCTCAAGGCCTACACCTAAGGCCCTACAAAGGCACCCATTTGGGTTCGTTCTATTCCTTGGATTCGGGTAATCAGAAATATAATAGTTAGAAGACTCCTACAATCACAAGAATAAATATGATGCGTTCGAGCACTGGTTTAGTTATTGATGGGAAGCCTCAAGGCCTACATTTAAGGCCCCACAAAGGCACCTGTTATAACTAACACGGTTTCTTGGATACATATATATATACAATGAAAGAACGACAACCATTTTACATCTGCCATGCTAAAGATGGCAGTGGCACGCCTGAGCACCTAAATGTTAACCTTGATTGTGAGCCTCAAGGCCTATACCTAAGGCCCCACAAAGGCACCTCTCAAAGTTAACGATGTCATTCTCTTTCAGCCTTGCCCGAAGAGCCTTCCCCGAAGAGTCTTGCCCGAAGAGTCTTGCCCGACAACGCCCAGAAGCAGAAGCCCGACAGCAGCCCTTAACCGGCGCCAACCTCCAGGGGAGCTGTGTGCTCGTCGGCCAGGAAACATCCCCAGCGGAAATTCCTGCCACGAACATAGTTTTGGCACGCCCGGTGGGATCTCTAATCAGAAGATAGAGAAACAGATATGCCAGAAGACTTGCAGACCACGTTATTTCAAATGCTGCAACGCTTGGAGAAAGCCTCCACGGGCTCTAGAAGTGATATTGATGTGGTTCCTCCCAAAGGAAAAAGACGTAAAAACAACCAGCCAGACTGGATGGACGTAATCAACCCTGCATTTCCCTTTTCAGAGGCCCCTATAAATATGCTCAATATGACGTGGGCGGAGAAAGGAAAAGGGAAGATTACAAGGGAAGAAGAAGAAAGACTGGCCAAAAAACCTACAGAGAGAATAGACAAACTACCCGAGTATCCAAATGCTGCCATAATCAAGGGGATGGTTATGTGCAGTAAATGCCAGTGTAAGTGTGAGCTCGAGATTCCTTCGGCTGGAGTTCTCATTGATCACGAGTTAATCAGGAGGAAGGAAGAAGATGCAAGAAGAGAAGCCCGCGAGAAAAATAAGCAGGCAACAAGGAAGGACACCTCCCGAAGTGTTTTTCAACGCTTAGGAGGTGATTCCCAACCCAAGGCTTTGTCAGAAGTGTTTCGAAACCATGAAGCTTCTGACGAGGGAGAAAAAATGAAGGCCACAATCCAAAGAGGTGCATATCATCCTCAGAATGGCCAGATGGGGAGGGAAGTCAAGAGAACTGATGGGATAGCTAATCCCAACAGAAAAGGGAATCCTGCCCACCTCGGGCGAAAATGGTATGTAGTCGGGAAGAACGGACAGCCTACCAAACCAATGGGCGCCTCTATGATCAGAAGGGTTCAAAGGCAGCACAAGGCCTACATGAATTCCTCAAAGACCCCCACTACCTCTGAAACCTCAAAAACTCAAAAGTTGGAAATAGCAACATCTGGAGGTAGTAGCCAGCTCCGTTGGCAAAATAAGAAGGAGGTAGAGAAAGCCAACAGCAAAGCAGAGGGGGTGGGGGATCATGTGCCGCAGAACCAACATCCTGGGAAGTATAGGATCTTGAGAAGAGCTCAAGAAGATCTGATCATGGTACCAACTCCTGGATGGAAGCCGGAGCCTATTCACATGGGAACATTTGCGAAACCACTTTCTATGCCATTGGTGGATCCCTTTGGTGAAGTTCCGAAACAAACGATGTACGAGGGCATGGATCAACCACAACAGGAGGGGATACCAGAACCTCTGCTTCCAGCCGATGCGATGGCCTGGTTAGATGAGTTCATGGACCAAATTGGGAGCAAGAAGGAGGATGTACTCGAGCCCAGTAATTTCCACATTAACATGGCGTATATATTATCCGCCACGTTTGGTGCCAGACCTGGTCAGCCTGCTACTATTGAGGGTGATTACTTAACAACAGAGCCAATGACGGCACAAGTCAATGTGGATATAGCGGAAGAAGAAGACTCGGGCAAGGCTGAGCCCTTAGTGGCATCCAACGGTGGTCCTCTAAGGATTTACACAGATGAGATGGTGTTCAGCCGCCCGAGTATTTCGTTAGCCAACCATCTGAAGCCTATATATGTTTCAGCTCACCTAGAGGGTGTGCCCTTCAAAAGAATTTTGATTGATGGAGGAGCAGCTGTTAACGTGTTACCGGCCAAGCAGATGAAGAAGATGGGGAGAGGTACGGAAGATCTTATTCCCACGGACCTTACGGTATTTAGCTTCTCAGGTGCTATCACTAAGACTCATGGGATATTACCTTTGGAGGTGGACTTGGGATCCAAAAAGATAATGCTAGCATTCTTTGTGGTGGACTGCACCTCCACTTACGGAGCCTTACTCGGAAGAGATTGGATCCATCAAAGTTTAGCCATACCTTCCACTCTTCATCAACAAGTGGCTGTATATCATGAGGCGGGTGTTGAAGGACCAGGCTTTTGGGAGATAGTAGAGGCCGAAACACGGCCGTTCCTCCCCTCAGCCAATGTTGCGGAAGCAAGTTTCTACAATCCCAACGTAGGAATCTTGAAATGTTCAGGAGCTGATAAGAACGGCCGCCCTACTAAGGTGACGGCCCAAAAGCTTTTGGAACAAGGAATGCTCCTTACTAAGGAGGAGTGGGATAGACCCTGTCTTATACCAAAATCCCTACACCATCAATGACTGGACAAAAGAAGAAAGATCAGGTCATGGCAGTCAAATACCTGATTAAAATACTGTTGGTATATGGGAAGGGAAGAAGACAAGAGAGGGAGCAGGAAGAGCAAGAATGGTAGGGAGAATCTTCGACCAGCCAGCATAGAAATAAAGAGGAATCTTGTAGTGAAGAACTGGATAGGGCCATTCAAATGGCCGAGTGCATATATGATCTAGATGGGCCAGACGACTTGCCCGAGAGCCCAGAGTTGGTCGAATTTTTATGTGCAGAACCTGATAAGCCATCACCCGAAGTACAGGATCCTTTGGAAGTTATTGATCTAGGCACAGAGGAGGATCCAAGACCAATACAGATCAGTGGTTTATTAGGGGCCGAGGATCGGGCCATGATTATTTATCTTTTGCAAGAATTCAAAGACTGTTTTGCTTGGCATTATACCGAGATGCCAGGGTTAGATCCAGCCTTGGTGGAACATAGAATGCCCATCAAGGAAGGATATAAACCGGTCAAGCAAGCACCACGGAGGATGTCAAAGGAGATAGAAGAAAAGGTCAAAGAAGAGATTTAGAGGCTAGTGAAAGCTGGCTTTATCAGACCAGCCAAATATGTGGAGTGGTTGGCCAACATCGTACCCGTTTTAAAAGCTGTAACAAAAGCAGTACGATGTTGTGTTGATTACAGAAATATTAATGGCGCTACACCAAAAGATGAGTACCCCATGCCTATGGCTGATTTATCCATAGATGCAGTAGCAAAGCATAAAGTTTTATCTTTTATGGATGGAAATGCCGGATATAACCAGATAAAGATGGCTCCAGATGATATTCATAAAACAGCTTTTAGGTGTCCTGGTCATGTGGGGGCATATGAGTATCTGGTCATGCCATTCGGGCTCAAGAATGCTGGCGCAACATATCAAAGGGCAATGAATGCCATTTTTCATGATCTAATTGGCCAGAGCATGGAGGTATATATCGACGACATCGTGGTGAAATCTAAAACAGAGGAACAACATCTAGTAGATCTCAGGCAACCATTAATAAGGATGCGGATCCACAAATTGAAGATGAATCCAAAGAAGTGCGCATTTGGAGTAAGGGCGGGCAACTTCTTAGGATTCTTGGT